GTGCGGCTCTGGCAGCACATGTAACCCGGCAAGCTTGACTGTCAGGCCATCAAACGCTGACTTTAGTGGTCCCGTCCTGCCCCCCCCCCCCCGTCTTCCTCTCTCCCTCTGCTTTCTGGTGCAACTCGGTCCTGAGCTTTCAGCGGAGCGCCTCATTCGCTCTGGTGGCCCCCCTATTGCCAGTGCGTGCGTTGGGCGTAAGGTTGTCTAGGCTGCCCTGTCTGCCCGAGGCCCACGGTACATCAAACTTCCTCACGAATTCCCCCTGCAGATTGCTCCACACTCGGTAGTTCTGCGCCACCCCCATCCACTCTGTTGTTGCCACTGCCACCAGCTGTCGCTCCACATCCACCAGCGAGTTGTAGCGATGCGCGTGCTGTTGCCTGATCTTTTTGGGCTTGGCCTTCTCTGCTTCCCACCACTTGAGGTTTTTCCACTGGAGCATCGCCGTCCTCCCGTGCCTGGCTCTGGCCATGTGTCCGTAGAGGTCCCATGTGTGCCCCAGCTGGAACGTGCTCCATCTGAGAACCTTGGACTTTTGCAGCGTGCGCACGTTCCACTCCCCCCATTGTTCCCCTGGTCTCCTCGCGGGGTGCATCATCCTTCTGATCTGCAGCAGCTGCGTGGAGTTGATGGCTATAAGGATGGCTTCTGTGACTGGCCAAGATTGTCCCCCTCACAGTGCTGCCCCCCTCACCAGTGCTTGGTGGAGTGTGATGCGTGCCTTCAGGGGTGTGGGGGCGCACAAGAGCTTCGCGTGCTTCTGGAACGCCTGCCTGGCCCTGTGATTCATGGCCGTCACTATATTGCCGCCACCCCCTCCCCGAAGGTGATAGGTGACCCCAGTGCTGTAATGACGGTGCCAAACGGCATGCATCCCACCTGTTGCCCCCCAATGGTGAATTCGCCGCCCCCTGTCTTCTCACTGTAGATGATGGCTGTCTTGGCTGGGTTGATCTCCAAGCCGTGGGCCCCCAACCTCCGTTCAAGGCTGGCGAGTGCGTACTGCATGTGCTGTTTGTCGTGAGACCACAGGTACGTGTCATCCATGAATGCCCCCCCGGATTGTGGAGGTGGGGGCCCTCGCGCGTCCCCTAGCATTGGCTTTGCGTCCCCCAGTGCGAACTAAGTGTTATGGGTCGTGTTTCCCCCCATTCCGTCGGGATGCCTGTGGTTTTGGGCAACAACACCGTGACCCCGTGCTGGATGGGCGGGGGGATGCTCCCCGTGTAGAGGATGTCGTTCATCATGTGTAGGATGCGATAACTCCACTTCGGCTCCTGCATCAGGAGGAGGAGGATCTCATGGGAGACGGCGTCCGGCCCCGTCGATTTCCTCCTTTTCCACTTGACTGTCGCCAAGCGCAGCTCGGTGTCTGTGAAAGGTGTCCAGGGCGTGTGCTTGCACAGCAGGGTGAGTGCCCTCCTCGTGTCCCCCAGCCTGCGTGCCGTGCGAGCGCTGGGTGCTTTTGCGAAGATCCCCCCGAAGTGCTTGCTAAGTTGCTGTTGCCACCCCTCGTTGTCCACCAGCTTGTGGTGCCACCCCTGTCTCCGCTGTTGCTTGGCCAGCGTCCTGTATGCATGCCAGTCAATTTGACTGGCCCTGGCCACCATGTGGTCGTTCCAGACCCGCATCTCTTGTTTGCGTTGCCTGCTGACTGCTTTCCACATGGCTTTGGCCTCGTGCGGCGCTGCCCTGTGTGCTGCTTGCCTGGCCTGCTTGAGAGCTGTGCTTTCCTGGAACTTGCTTGTGCGGCGTCCTGGCTGTGTGATCCGGCGGGCCATGTCCCCTATGGCCTTGTGCGTCTCGGTCTGTGTGAGTGGCTCCTTGGCTGCTGCTGTTGGGTCGTTCCTTTCTTTGAACTTTCGGGCCCCCCATGTCTGTCTTGGCTGTTGCTTGACTGGTTGCACGCATTGGTCTTGCCACACCGCGTCGTGATCCGACCTCGCCATGTGTCTGCTTCCGACCGCCACGCCCCCAACTCCGCTTTGCACCCCCCTTGAGAGCACATAGTCCAATCGTCTCGATTGCATGCGAGTGTTGTACGGGTGGAACGTTGGCGTGGCCAGGTCTTGCTCAGCTGCCGCCCCCCCCGCAGGCCGCCACCACCTCCAGTATAGCTTCCCCTCTCCCCGTGTGCGCTCTGAGTCCCTCCCCATCTTCGTCTGTAAATGTCTCATTCATATCCGCACCCAAAACCAGTCGGGCCTTGCGCAGTGTCTGCTCCCATGCTTGCAGAATCGCCTCCGTCTGCGGAATGGTGGCATGGTGCGGTATGTGTCCCGAGAGGTACCTCACCCCTCGTTTCCCCCCTGCTTCCCCCAATGTTGTAGCTATCCCCGCTGGCAGTAGCTTGGTGTTGGTATGTTTGAGCCTTTCCGCTCTGTATGCCACCCCTGTCCCCCTCCAGTCTCCCTCGTTCTTTCCAAAGACGATCACCCACCCTTCATGTTCGAGAAAGTGGATGCCGGGCTCGCAAATAATTTCCTGCAACAGCAGGATCTGAACTGTCCTCAAAGTGTCGTGCCCCACGAAATGCTTGGGCAGCTCCAGCGCGTCTTGCGCCGTGAGCCCCCCAACGTTCCATGTAGCCACTCTCAGTGCTGGTGGAGCATCCTTGGGATTCCCCACCCGGGCGTGAAACTTGTCAGCGGTTCGAGCCCCCCATCACTGGAGCTCTGCTTTTCTTGGCCCCCAGGCTTGCTCGATGTCCGCCTTGGACTTCCTCATGGCTTTGGCTAGGAGCGGGATGTCCACCCAGCCGGCTCCCACCGCCTCCGCCTCCTTCGGCTTCTCAGCCGTTGCGCTGCAGACTTTGTGCCCATGCATCCAGACCGTGCCCGTCGCGAACTCCACGTCCAAGGCCTTGGGGTCCCCCTGCATCTCCAAGATGGCGCGCTTGACTTTCCCCGCCAGCTTTGCTCTGCGACGTCTCTCCGGGCTCTGCGAGATGGCTATCCATAGCTTGCGTAGCCCCCCCTGCTCATTCTGCCCGAGGGACATGTTGGCGTTCCGCACCCGCTGAAGTGCGGCTTGCACTCGCACTCGCCTGGCTTCCTCCGCTTCAAAGGGCCTGTTGGGGATCGGTACGATCGCGTACCCCCGCCTGACCCCCGGAACGAACATGTCTTGTGTGTCCAGTAACACCTCCAGCCTCTGCAAGATTTCCTTGGCTGCCTTGAGCGTCTCGTCGGCCATTTGGTCCGGGTGCCACCCCCCCATGATAATGGCTGGCTTGCGCCCCCCGTCTCCCATGGCTGCGGTGTCGGCCGTGCTTTGCGGTGCCGAGCTCCCTGGCGGCTTTTTCTCCAAGTCGGTGAGTCTGGCTTCCATCCCCCGCTGTCCCTCTCTGAGCTCCGTTAGTGCCTTGGCCTGGTCGTCATAGTTGTCCGTGATCTTTGCCAGCATGGTGAGGGTGTTCTGCATCTGCTGTGTCACTCCCCCCTCCACGTTGTCCATTCGGCCACGGAGCTGCTGCATGTCCCCTTGCACAACCTGCAAACTCTGTGCTAGGTGTTGCCTGTCGATGTGGCGCTCCTGTGCCAAGACTTCCCGGAGCATCTCTAGCGTCAGGGGCTGATCCCCGTGGCGCCCTCTCTTCTGGGGCGAGCCTGCGTCCTCTGCTGGTGGGCTTGCCCCCCCTCCCGGTGGTGCTCCCGGTCCCTCCACCGGCGCTCCTCCCATCTGCGCGTCTGCGCCCCCCTTCGTAGTCATACTTCTTGTTCTCGGTAGGGTCGCTGTAGTGTCACGATCTCTCCCCGCAAGTACTTTGTCTCCCCTCGGTGGTGCCGTGAATCGCACCCCCGTCGTTCGGTGTGTGTAGGGCCGCCGATATCCGTGTGGTAGCTGTCCTGAAACTCCCCCGCACGCCTAAGCAGCGGCACCCTCGAGCTCCGGACTTGCCGATGTCGCCCCTGAGAGCCCCCGCGAGGAAGTCGCGTAGTTCAACGGTCGTGTAGTTGGGCTCGAATGGCGGCACAGGGTCTACGAGAGGCGCAGGTTGGCTCCCCCTCGCAGATTCTCACCTCTCACTCTCAAGCGCACCCGGTTGAGGCCCCGGACTCGGGCTGGGCCTTGAACCGCTCACGGCTTGAGCCAAAATGCTCTCTCTCTCTCTCTCTCTCTCTCTCTTGTTGTCTTGTCTTGTCTTCGGGGCATAGGCAGCGTCTGAAGCCCCCCTGTTTAAGGGCTCTGTAGGAGGGAGACAAAATGCGAGCAGATTAGAATCTCGGCCGTAAAAAGACATGGTTCCCGGGTTATCGCGCCTCTCTCTCTGTCTCACATTCACATAGACAAAGCTGCTTGAGCACAAGCGGGCGCCTTTTGAAGCTCTTCTTGTGCTTTGAGCAGCAGATGCTCCTGCTGTTCCCTTTGCCTCCCGAGTGTGTGTCAGTTCAGCAGAACCAGCCGGAGTGTCCAGGCCTGCGACTCTCAGCGACGACCCCAAGCGCAGGTTCCGCAGTTGCTGCCGCAGCACGGCCCAGGGAGGCAGGAAGGCCAGAGCTCAGCGCCGTCGCCTTGGCTACAGGACTTTCTCAGCCAACACTGTGTGCCCTGGGCCAGCTGAGGGCAGTGCAGCAGCGTTGGCCAATGAGCGGCCGCTGGCCTTGCCCAGCGAGGCACAGAGAACTAGTGCCGTAGGCTTGCGCTCTGACTCCGGATGCTGTTCAACTTGCACGCTCACAACCAAATTGCTCATGGTTGCACGATTCACTGGGCATCGCACATCTCGGGCGTGGCCCATGCTTCAGTGCTGCATGTGCACAATGGTGGTCAGACTTGCGAAAGTTACTGGGCTGAGAACGTCGAATGTGTCAACATGCCACAGAGTAAGTGGGTTGAGGAAGGTGCGGCTCGACTGTCGCACATTAAGCTGGTATAGCTGAGTTGAAAAACGCGCTGTCCAAGACCAGGCAAGCTTGCACAGGCACGAATGCAGCTGACACCTGCTACGACCAGCCCTGGTTGGTCCGCCACTATCACAGCTGCAGCCTTTTGCTTCAGTCACGGCTCAGCACGCGCACCTGCATTGAAGGGCCGAAGGCAGAGGACCAAACATCTGCAAGATTGATGCCCAACTATGCCCACGCCCAAAGTATCCCTGGCTGGCGGCACCTCAGGCAACATCAACACGGCGACAGAGCTGTCAGTGTAGTCGAAGCCCACATAGGGACGCGCCTGCCCAACGCTTCGCTAATCGTTGCGCAAATCGACTTGTTGCAGAATGTGAGACTCTGAATGAAAACAAGCAATCTTGCAGCCGGGCGAAAACACGCTTGCCACGTACAAACAACTGCTACACGGCAGAAGAGAATAGAGCCAAACCCCCCACGTAGCTGCGTAGCTGTTGCATGGTCAATGGTGAAGGGATCAACGAAGCGGCAAATGAACGGTAGCATTGCAGTAGCTATTTCGATCGGTCTTGAAACGCCATGTGTTCTTTTACAAAAATCATGCTGTGTATATGACATCAGCATATCACCAGTGATCTGACAGCGAACTGCACCTCAACGAAAAGGTAGTCTCCTCTGCCCGGGCAGATTGTCGAAACCTGCACGTTGCTTGGCACCTGCCGACATGTAAGCGGACGAAGGGCGAAGAGAGTTGTCGATTGTCGCCGTATAAGCAAACGTCATATGCATTCCAGCATGAACAACTACTGGAGGCCAAATCAATACAATGTTCCCGAGAACAGCGTAGAACCGACGTGCCTTCAGGGAGGCACATTCAGCAGCTCTGTCTATCTCGGTGCTGTTGCCCAGCAGGAAGAAAAGCACATGGCCTGACATGAGGTGCAACAGCCCCAAATGAAGCGATGAGGTGCGCATAAGGAAAGGACCGTAGGTCTCCGTGCAGCAGTCTCTAGACCAAACCTTGACCTGTCCGCAGTGCCGAAGATGTGGTTAAACGATGCCAAAACCGGAGTGGAATATGATATGCCTCCGGGTCGGAAGCTGTCCGCCGCAGCTTCACCCACCAGTGAGAACCGCCAACTGAGCAAAGCCCACTGCCCGTTCTGCGGGCACAGGCTGCTTCTGACTGTAAGCACTGTCAAAAGCCATAGATTGGGATCGGCACCGTATTTGCCCTGATGAGACGCCTGCAGATCCAGCAGTTTCGGCTGGATTCCAGCAAGCAAACGCAGGTCAAGCATGCTCGCCTTGTTCGCACCATCCAAGTCGAAGTGATACTCGTGAGGATGATCCTCACAAACCAGGCAGCCTATGCATATTGCGAACAGGCACAGGCTGAAGGTCACGACAGGCCTGCCGTGTCTCCCCGTCGTTGGCCAGCCGGTGAGCACCGTCTGCACGAGCAGGGGAACCCCCTGGCAGCAACAAAGGTCGCACTAGCCGGAACCGTGTCGTGCTGCGCCCGGCCGCTGGGCTGGCGTGTGGAGAGGTCACGGTGCTCGTCCGAGGCATCAAGGTCTCCAGCCATCTGCAAACCCGAGAGGCTCTGTCAGAAAAAACCCTCTGTGCCTACTCGCCGCCTGTTCAGTACCGCTCACAGTGCGCGGCACCCCTCGCAGGGAGGCGATGAGTTCCAAGGCCTCTCGAGTTCGACATGCCATGTCAGAAGGTTGCATACTACAGACTATAGGCCCTTCGTCGTCGGTTCGACTGCATCCTTCGCGTCTTTCCAAGCATTGGAGAACCCGTGCCGTCACTAGCATCTCCACCTTTACATTCTACTTCTGTGGTTTCCGCAACGCGATTTGTGCACACAGTTTTGTGCTGGAGCCTAGCACCGGGCTGCGCGTGGCCTCACTTCTCCCCGGTGCGTCAGAGAAGAGCGAGGAGCAAACAGAAGAGTCACAGCGCGGCTTGCATGGCCCATTCACTCGCCTGCCGAGTGAAAATGGCAGTACCCATCAAGCCCAAGCACAGTGCGGCCCAAGTGCGTACAAGTCCTTCAATGAGTAGCAAAGTCCCTATAGTGGCGGTGCCGCGTGCTGCTCAATGCAGCTGGCTAGCGAGTCGTCATCACGCGGGAGCTAGACAGCAGGATTGATGCAGCATGTGTCTCTCTTTGAGCACATCAAGTTCCTTCCATGTTGGATTCGCTTCTTTCCGCTCCGTTTTCATATTACCTTGTCTCGCGGTCTTATCTTCGACCTGCCTCCGTCTGAATTAAAAATCAGACAGAAAGTCGCATCGCCGGCCTGACTCCAGAAACTCATTGCCACCCCAAGGTGCTCCATCTGACAGGGCAAGGCAAGGCTGCGCACAACTCCCTTTCACCTTGACCGGTGTTGCAAAAACACCATCATAGATCGACTGAGTCAAGCACATGTGCCCTCTGCATGGAGTGGCTGATCTTCTGGTGATCCGCCGCAGCCAGCTGCCTCGTGCAACGGCAGGGTGCCATTTTCTGAAAAGCAGAATTGCAACACAATCACTATCGTCGCCTAAAGGCTACTGCTAGAATTGATACCTCTGCTGCTTCTCGGCTTCTTTCGAATGGTGATTTCGGTGCTCAGGCCATGACTGCAGCGAGTGGCGTTTGTACTTTGGTGAACATGATGCAGACGAAGACAAGACATGAAGACCAACAGTAGGATGGGGACGAGGGTGACCGTAATTGTTCAATGATGAGGAGGAAGAGTGAAGCATGGCGGGCCCCAGAGTCGCCCCACATGCGGTTCATGGCTTCGCCTTCGCAACTTTCCGATTTCCGAGCCCGCACATCTTTCAGTCCTGTGGTGGCAAAGCCTGTGCAATCAATTCATCTGTGCCCGCTCAGGGCCATGCTTGAGCAAGCTCGGCACTGAGTCGAAGTGGGAGATGTGCGGCAAGGTTAGGTAGTCGGTGAAAGCTGCCCAGTACCTGAACGAAATCTTTGAAATGCCCACATGGTCTTCCCATCTGTCACCTGTTTGGGATGCATCTGAGTTACGTCATGGCGGCCCAGTCGTCGGTGTCCTTACAGAGCTGATGCTTTCTGCACTTGCTCTCTGCTTCGAGGCGAACTAAATTAGGAAACCTGTTCGCACACCTAGCGACTCCCTAGCGCACGCCAGGTTCGCACACACGCAAGGCGGATGCGCTAGGATGCGCGCATTGGCTGATTCTGGAACTGGACGGCTGCTCACGGGGGAGTCGCGCAATGACGAGGACAGTTCACACAGACATGAGGCCAGGATTTGAGCGGGATTTCAGCATGTTCGCACCGGAGTTGCGCGCCTGAAACTTCGCGATCGGGACCCAACCCGAGGAGCCCCCTCAAGCCTGAACCCATCTAAACCCTAACCACAAAATCACACAAGCCCTATACTCTAGTTAGTTAAAAACCCTAGACTCAGCAAACGCTATGGGCTTTTGCAATACCCTAACCCCGAAAACCTTGAACTCCCTGAACGCTCAAAGCAGTAGACCCGTACAACCCTGAACTCCAGAGACCCATGCCGTAAAATCCATGAAGACTTGAACCTCTCACCCTACACCTTAAAACACTGCAAACCCCCTAAACCAGATAAGCCTAAAATCTCGGTGCAGTCCTAAACCCTGGAATCCCAAGACCTTGTTGAATCGCATGCACTGAATATGCAGAGGTTGAGCCAACTTTGGTGCTGGAACCACCACTGCTTGAATCATACTTGCGCTCGAATCGAATCACGCCATCAACAAGCCTCGCCCGCTGGGCCCTACGCTCAAAGATCAACGAGCTCCAGATGCTGAAAGCTTCGAACGGCGAGTGGGGATGCACACGATGTGGCGCATGTCCAGGCCGGCTGCCCTCGAAGTCTGGACAGACAGAGTAGTCCTGGATCATGCTGGCAAGAAAGTTGATTGACACTTCACACTGCTCACCATCATCAAGCACGTGCTGAGCTGCAGAGCCCTCCTGACTCACGTATAAGGGCAGCGTGTCTCGCGAGGGCATGTAGATCGGCACACCCATGGCATACAGCCTGAGAAAAAACAGTGCGCGCTGCAGCAGTCTAGCAGAGGACTTGCACACGGTCTTGTGAATGGGATCTGACTCAGAATCAGGCTCGTAGAACCAGAACTGACTTGGACTGTACGGATAGATCACGGCCTTGGCACACTCGTCTCTGACCGAAACCGCATCCAAGCGCCATAAATGCTGACGAAGTGGCAGCCAAGAACTCCGAGAAAGTAGAATAACCCATCCGGTCTTTCCTTAGCAAGTATGTTCAAGAACAGATAACACCATGTGTGTCGAGTGCCTGTACTTATCGAACTTATTGGAACGTATTGCGCTCCACCAGCACGAAGAAGCAGTCTCGCTCGGTGGAGCCCTCAAGCGAAGCTGGCCTGTTCCCTCGGGAGTCCTCGTGGGCTCTCGGCACAACTCAAAGGGATAAGTGCGACCGAAGCATCTCAGAGAGACTGGCGGACTCTCGGAATCTCAGCGCAGCAGTTGCCGAAGAGTCTCAGGGCAAGGAGCGGTAATTAACAGCGATCCAACGTTCAAAAATGAAAATCGGAAGAAAAAACGGAAGTCAAGCTGGCGCCTGCATAGACTTGCGCAAAGTAGTTGAGGACACACTCCTTGCACAGTCACTAGGTGACTTGATCAACGGGTTAGCGTGTGCGCTGCAGGCTTTGATGCGTCTGATCATCATCTGCCCTTTCTGTCAGCTACCCTCAGTCAATTGATCCAAGCCGCCGTGTCCCAGAACAAGCTGACGGTTCGCAGAAGCAGCACCTCCTGAACAGAGAACACAAGCTTGCAGCTATTGCTGTGTTTCGCTCCCAGCTGTGTTGCACCTACTGAGACGCACAGAAACCAGCTGCAAAAGGGCCTGCGCCCGCTTTGGCCAATAAGTCGCCTGCAAGGATATTAAATCATGGCCGGCATTGCTTTACATGCGACACAATAGGTCTGCATCCAGAGCTTAACTTCTTCTGCAAAAAACCTTCGGCACGGCTTTACACTCGGGGTCTCAACAGATCAGTTCGACGCAGGCTAGTGAGCTGGGCTGTTGACACTGAAACAGAAACCGGGACTTCTGTAGCTGCTGCGCCCGACGTGCCTCTGTGTATGTACACATTGGTCGGATGACCGGCAATGATATGCCGGTGCCATACCTCTGATAACAGCTCATGCCCGTCACAGGGCCACAACTGTCTGGAACATAATGGCCCCCTGCACGACAAAGTGTTCGAGTTTCATGGTGCCGGTCAAAACGGACCAAGTTGCGCGACCCATTCCGCAAAAAGTGGCGTGGTGGCAGCAAAAATGTGCCGTTCATCTAGAGCCATCTCCTTTGTTGCACGTGATCAACAGCCGATGGTGCCACAGTCGAAGCACATCGCACCATCCCGCCACTAGAGAAGTCCGAGGCTCGTAAAACTGTTGGTACCACTCAGACCGGTCTTCGGCCCGAACCTGGGTGCAAAACGCTTCGAAAAGATGCTGCGCAAGCTTCACAGGCACAAGACAAACTCTCTGTTTAGACAGTGGCGTGCATTTCCAGTTGCTACGGCAACGCTCGAGTTACAGCGGCACTGGCACACGGATCCCTGCATGACTGCAAGCATCTGCAACACTCCGAGACACTGACGTACACGGAGATGGGGGTGGAAATGTAACCAATCACCTTCGGCAACCCAAAAAGCTTGACCAAGACTTGCTCCGACACCTGGGATCTGGCCCCGAGGCTGTGACAGGCCGGCCGAAGTGCGCCAACAGCCGGCAGAAAAGGACAGGCTCCCCACACATAAAGAAATCCTCGGGCCAAGGAGAAACCGGTAGCATCTCTTCAGGGCTTGAGGCAGAAGTTGCTGCTGCATTCACTACAGCTGCACCCCTGGCAACAGCTACCCAAGCTCGGAGCTCTCCAGAACGTTGTCTCAATCAAGGAGCACACTGACAGATCTGTCTACATCGGCTCCAGCTTGCGCCCAAGAATCAGCAGACCGCAGCTCGGGATCGTTGCCCATGAGCCGCACAAACCGGTCATGATACTCTTGCGCCTCATGTAGCAACAAGACAATGAAATCACCGGATTGCATCTGCAGCACTGACCTCCTTGAAAACAAACCCGATTTGCAGCCGTCAACTTGTTTGTTGCATGAAGCGTATCCCTGAGAACCGCCACAGTATGCATGCTGAACAACCTCAAACATCTGATCAAAATTAGCCTGGATTGTGCAACCCTGAAAACACACGAATGCTCACAGACCGCTGCATCCACGGCACGGATCTGAGGAAATGATGTCGTGCCTGTGCGAAGGTTTGACAGGATGCAAGACAAAACCGTGATGACAGAACACAAGCATCAGAGCGAAGAAGTGAAGAATCGCTAAGCTGAGCAGCCTTGTGGTCGCCCGTGTGGCAGTCCAAAACAACTTCCTGCCGGGCACCGAATCCGCTTTCGCGCCTTTTTAGCGCACGGACGCTGCACAAGCACAAGTGATCAACGAGGTCCTCAAAGAGTTCATTTAGTTGAAGGAGGCGCTCATCCGAGCCGCACCACGCTCCGCCCTTAGGAGTTCGCTGGTCATGCTCTGAACCAGGGTCTCTACCACAGACAAAAAAACACCCGGCGGGACAGCGGCGGGAGAACGATTTGGACTGCAGGGCACGTTGGCGGGATCTCCAGTGCCGGAGGCGAAGACACATGGCATTGTGCCCTACAGCGGGATTTCGAGACAGTTCGGAGCCCAGTGTCGGTGCCGACGGGACCCACACGGGACTGTGGAAAGAATGCGGCTGTAGTCGAAAACGTACACCGCGTCAAAAAGGGAACCGCGGAACCGCTGGGCCTGCCGGGGGCATCTCGCGTCGACAGTAACCTACCCCCTTTACTCTGAGCACAAAAGGGGGCAAGGCAAACATGGCTTGCATTACCTGTCCAGCTTATTGAAATGTCCAGTTCACTTCCCTGCCTGGTGAGTTGCGACAGAATTAGAGAGAAGAGCATCTTCCATTTGTAGGTGTCAAGCTGCAACCAGAAGTTCTCAAGCTTTGGGAATGATTTTTGGCCATCATGGACGTCTGGCTGCAGGCAGAGTGTGGGAAGCATCAAAAGTCAACAGTCGGCTTGTCTTGTCAGACCCGACTAGGTCGACATTCCCCTGTTCACTTGCTTCTCAGGGCGTGGCTATGAAGCGGCAATGGTTGTGCAAGCGAGCCACATCCTTCGACAGCATTTCAAGCGATCCGTCCCTCACAAAGCCATTGACTTCGATCGAAGCAGTAATGCCTCATGCACCTGGTGCCCATCCCTGAAACAGGCATGCTCAAGTAGTAGATATGTTCCATATCGGCACGCTGTTTGTTGAAGCTTGGAGACTAGCAGGGAAGGAGATGAGTCTGTAACATCCCCTCTCTCCGACTCAAGCTCGTCAACAAGTGTACACTGGCCCGCAGCGTTAGTTTCAGCGCTCGTTGAAAACGTTCACTAAGCAAACAAAGCAAGCGCACGATCGACAGCTACAAAGCCCTGCTTTTGCGGAGCTGTTGCTCATGTCTTCCAACTCGTCCTCCGGAGTTTTCGCCGTTGCATCCAAAATGTGCAAGATAGCCTCCACTTCGAAGAGGTGACTCAACATGTGTTGCCTGAGCACAGCGGGTCGGTCTGTTCAGTGCCAGCCAGGGCCGAAGGGAACGAGACAAGAACTGATCGATGTGTCCATTAGGGGCTTCTTGATGCTGTAGATCATCGGCATTCTGCAAACGACCAGATCAACGAAGGAGACTGCCAACTAGCAGCTCCATGGGCAACGCTCCCATGTCCCTCACACTCGGAGCCCTGGCAGAAAACATGACGAAAACACACTGCAAGCCACCAAGGTGCCAGAACGAGAGCGGCTCCCGCAGCAGCGCCGTGTGGTACCTCGTGGCAGCACTGTTAAAGGAGCACTTTTCGACAAAAGGAGCAGAAATCAACATCTGCAGCTCACGCTGCTCTGGCACAAAGTCTTCGCAGATCAGGTAATTGCCTAATTAGCCAAGATGCGAGATGGCCACTGCCTTCAGCCGGCGAACATCTGGGAACCTCGTCACAAGAGCTTGGGGCATTCAACTGTAGGGCTCGTCAACGCTCATTGCAGGCGGGGTGCCTCGTGTGAACCGGGCTCCTGCCAAAAAAAATCGTAAGTTGTTTGAAAACCTGTCAATGTTGCAAGTCTCTCCTGCGAACCACCAACTGGGGTATCCGCAGCGCTGAAGGCAGCGCTGCGTCGCGGGAAACCCTCGCACAGGGCAGATTCAAAATGATAGAACGCCATGAAAGATATGGGAGATTGCAACCCGCTCCTGTACCCGCTGCTCCCAACAAACTTCGTGCTGAGAGCTTTGGCCATTTCCACCATTTTCACATGCCACCCAGAGCTTTCCTTGGCATGAGACCATGAACAAAAACTGCTGAGGCCGCTCTTGCGCACGGGTCATCGGAGCCAAGGCTCAAGAAAGTGCATGGCGTTGAACTTTGATGCATCATTCAAAAAGCCTTGGCTCTTTTTGACTTCGGCAAAGGTAGGGAAGGCCATTTGTTGGGCACCCCTTCCCTGTCAAGGTTCCCCAGGCGTTGTTCGCCCATTCTGCCATGCCCGGCACGTTGGCGAAGTGTTGGTTGCCAAACACCCCCAGCCTTGGCTGATGCCAAGGAATTGGCTCAACAAGAAGTGGGGTGGATCAGGCCTGTCTAGCAGTGGTGGCTGACCGCAACGGAAGCAGCGTTGACTAGCTGCTCCAAGCGACCACTGCACTGTGGCGAAACCGTAGAAGCAGAAGTTCTGCTGCAGGTCCTGCTAGCTGCCGCATTGCTCCACATGTCTTCTCAAAAGGGCTTCTTGGACCGGAACAAAAACTGCCTTTGACAAGGCCCTTGAGACACGATGCTACGACAGCACCTCGCTCCCCCCAAAGAGCAAGACCCACGACCAAGAGAAGCAGATAGGAGCAGCGACTCGCCAAGGCTGTGCTGACGCCTGTGGGGAGCTGTGCCTGACCTCTGTTGCCTAGCCGGGCTTGAGGCTGTCTGTTCTAGGAAGGCACGGACTGGACCCTTGTTGCCTACTCAGGAGAAGCCGCCATCTCTGAGTGTGGTCTCCGCCGCGCAGGTTTGTGTCTGGTATCTGCTCGCTGGCTCGGCACATATGACATCTAGCGAGACAGGATTCTCCTCCCCAATGGCTTGTACACGCAGCAAACTGCTGCCTTCTAGCCGCAGCAAAATGCTGCTTTCTCAAGTCCCTGGCATTTGAGACACATGCAAAGAGTACAGTAGCTGCATCGTGGCGGGGAGCTGTGCTTGACGGCTGTGGGCTCCTCGGGGACTTCTCCTAGGCGTTCTGGACTGCAAAGGTGGAACACAGACCAGTCGCTGGCATACTTCACCTCGGAGGCGACTCTGGGAGGCAAAGAGCTGACTGCCAGGCTTTCTACTATCGACAAACACGCGTCACAAATCTCCGAGGAAGGGCTGCTTCGTACTATAGACAGCCGAACACCGGGCACAGAATATCGCGATGACATTGTACAGTAGAATTTGGACAACGATGTGCCCTCCCGACGGGCACTTCTGCTTGTCTAAAACATGGCTAGTCATTGCACGCCCGACAGGCAAACGCAATGGAAAAGGATGGGTTCGTTCCTTCTTTGCCACTCGGACCCAAGCTACCTTTCACCGAAAGACCTTCACAAGCCGGTGTCGAAGGCAGAGGAAAAGGAAGCTCCCCAAATCGGAAACACCACAAAGGAACGGACAGCACAGAAAAGACGGTTTGGACTCTGCAGGACTCAGGCCCTTAAAGATCTGAATCAGGTCCCAAACTGAATCTAGCCGTAGATCATTGCCATGAGTTTGCCTCTTCGTGCCCGGGCCCTGGCAGATGCAGGCTTGGGACCACACAAAGGTGGGCTCGTAGCGCCGCCCCAAGTCGTTGGCTTCCGCGAGAATCTGCGCCAACCCATTCTCGAACGTGTCATGTCTGCGGAACCGATCGGCCAAATGCTCATCTTTCCATACTTTGGGCCTCCTGCATGTGCAGGATTACTTCCTGCTGATTGTCCTTCGCCGATGCGAACAGCTTGCGGAATGCGGCAAAGCGCTCCCGGAATCTGCTCCATTCCTCACTAACTTGACAACTCTCAGCTCTTGAGTTGAGGGCTACCACCCGCTGCGCACACGTGCGGAATGCTGTGCAAGGTTTGGCGTTCTGAGGCACAAGCTGGATGGTTGGAGCAGTCGAAATACCACGGCGCCTAGCGAAATTCACTGTACTTGGGACCTGGTGCACTGCCGGCATATTGTGCTCTGCTCAACCAGGCCATGCAGTGCAGCTGCACAAAAAAATCGAGCAGTCTCAGCTTCGGGGTGCGACCCGATAGTGTGCAGTCCGCAGCGGCCGAAGCAATCAAAGCCGAAGAAACAGGCAATCTCGGAACAGGGATCCTGGAGGACAACCTCGTCATCCGCGGCTGCCAATAAGATGAAGCTCCTTGGCGTAAGCATGAGCTCACTGAGGCTCAGACACATGCTACCGGACACAGGGAGAATTCAATGGAGTAGACCATCCCTTTCAATACCCGAAATCCGCACGGATGGCTTGCGGCTACACTAAAACAACAGAATTCTGAGCATCGCTACGACTGGGGCTCCAGCAGGAGGCCAATCCGGCCCGGGTTAGCCATAAGAGGACTACAGGACCAGCATTTGATATGCCTTGGAAGACTAACTCGATCTTGATGGATGACACTGAGGACTTTATTGCCTTCGGAACAAACTGCATTCATGTTTGGAAGCTCGGTGGACGGGTGGATGATGAATTAACATGAATGTCTCGATGCGTGGCGTCAAGAGCCAAGTCTGTGCAGCAGAGTGCTGTCACATCAGTCTTGCAACGTGAAGAATTAACAGACAGCGGCATCGACACGTGCAAAGCTAAAAGGCTGTCCCAGAGGAGAACTGGAAACCAACACACCTGTGACACCTGAACCCAAAACGGAAGACAGGTGCCAAGAGTTGCCTCAAACCGAAAATGCCGCAAAAGCAAAACATCCCGGCAAAGCTTGTCTATTCGGTCGGGTTCATTCGACGTCTCCTCAGGAACTGAGGAGTTATTGTACAAACTCCAGAAACTCCTGCAACTTTACAGAGGCTATCACGGTACTGTGTCGATGTTGCGAGGACAGGGTGCCGCAGGGAGGCATCTGTCATACAGTCTGGGCTGCTCTGCCGCGGTTGGTAGGATGCTTTGGGTGTGTGGCTGTGTGTGTGCGGAAATTGCAGAAGCGCTCATGGTCCCGCTGGAACTTGGCAACCTGGCAACTCATAAAGTCGGCGCAGCAACTTGCAGCCGTGACACGAAACGGGCACCGACATAGCACAAAATCATGATCGGAGCAAGAACATCTGCTCTCAGTCGGAACCTCTGCTCTGCTAGGTCAGCGAAGACCGTGTTCGACTCCGGAGGCTCCCCGCAGCAGTCCTTGGAGTGTAAAGAGAGCTCGGAGAAACGCCCTCGCGAACAGGAACAGTGCGTAGGCACCCCGCTTGGATGCCGCAGCCTGGGAGAGCGCACTTTGGCAGGATGAAGCAGCGGAATATAGAATTACACTTCTGAAATCTGCAGACAGAAAAGAGCACCGGCATCGGCCTTCTTCGGGGCTGGTTCCAAGGACTGGACGACCAGCTGGCCGATCCTCAGAAAGACGAAAAAATAGCTCAAAACAGCTTCTGACGTATGCGCAGCTACACCAGTTCACCCCCGTGCACACCGTCCCAGAGCTCGTTTTCTTCCGCGAGTTAAACGATGCCGGCTGCCCTTCCAGACTCCCAAGCAGAATCAGGAAGGCATGCCGGGCTAGCGGTTCTTGACCCAAACTAGCAGTTCGTCTTTGTCACCGCTTCTGATGCTCATCGTGATTTTGTCGCTGTAGGTAATCTGCTGGCCAGTCTTCAGCTCAAAGCTCAGGTGCCGCAACAGCTCAACGGCGGCGATCTTCGCCTCGAAGATGGCCTGCATGGCAGCGTCGGCTCCATCCCCTCCACTATGTCTCTTTACTTGTGGGCAAGCGGGCATGGTCACAATTGTGGGTTTCCCCGAACTTGCTAAAATACAAATGCACTGAGGTGGCCCCGTCTCTCGTGCACGGTGTTTCCGCTCCAGACAACAACGGCTATCCGGCAAGGAACCATGCTCGGGAGCCTTTGCAGAAAGAAGAGATGCCGCTAACACACGGTAGTGGCATCGCTGGATGGCTTAAGCTTCCACTCACACAAGTCGACATACTCCTTGATAAACGAAATCAAGATGTTGTAGTCATGTTTCAGGTTGCTCTGCCTTGTAATGCTGATATCCTGTCCAATGCTGAGTCAGCATTTGGAGCCGTGTGAGGTCTCAGTATGAAGCTGCCCTCAACAGCTTCGATTCAAGTGCAAAGCCCCAATACACGGACGGTTTCATCTGAAGCATCAAATTCTCATCTTGCGGTGGTCTTTTGGCCATGGCTCAGCCACCATCAAACCCACAAGACCCAGGCAAAACCAACATTATGCTTATGGTCTTTTGGCTGCCGGGTCGCCATGTCCATGCCGAGGCAGATGCGTGGTCCTGCCTCAAGGAATCCATGACTCAACGCTTAGCATGGTATGAACACTCAGCCAAATCCGGCCTGAAACACGGGGAACTCGTGGTGCGGCGGTGCGGAGAAGGGAATCCAACGCTCTGGCTTAAAAACTTGCGGCTCCGGGTAGCGATCTGGATCGCGTCCCATGTTGTACCTGATGCAGCACATAAATCAGGCATGATGGCAAGCTGCCGACCAGCATCTGGCGCTCAAACAGACCACCACTACCACCTAGTTTGGCCTGGGCGCGGGCAGAATACGAGCGTTGCTCCTTTGGGCACCCTCCAACCACCCGGAAGAACATCATCTACCTGGGCGATCTTCGAGTCCACTGGAACTGGGGGCCACAAGCGCAACGTTTCGTAGACCACCGCGTGCAAGTAGGGCAGTTCGTTATGCGACAAGCTCTTCAGGTCCATCGCTGTACCTTCTTCCACAGAAAGGAGAAGCAGTGATCCTGTGATGCTTTGACGAGCGGCCTGCTGGAGACTTCTTGTCAATCTCCTCCTGCAGACGCTTCTGCACGTCAGGATTCCGTGCAATCTCGTAGAACATCCAAGACCTTCCAAAAAAACAAGACGCCGCATCAAGACGTAACAAGCCAGTGCCTGAATCTAAGTCGAGCGCAGCAGACAGGCCGTCGTGTCTCTGCCGGCAATGATCAAATTCAGGACCATGTCTTTCACAAACTTTGTCGTGAACTTCTGTTCCTTCTGCGCCTGAAGAAACCTGCGCTGTTTTCGACGAAGCACTGCTCCATAGTAGAATTGCCGAATAGCCCCAAAGCTTCGGAAACGCCCCAACTCTCTGCTAAATAAATGCCCCACAGGCGCAAGGCAAGTAGATCCCGACGATTCTCGAACTGAGGATCTGCCAAGCAATCTTGCACCAGTCCTGAGATCCACTTGTTGGCTTCTTGCCTGCCTGAAGTGACGGCTGCTTTTGTGACGATACGCGCTCTAGAATGCACTTCTGAATATGTCAAGGCATCTGTCTGCTTCGGCATTGATGATCCGGCGCTCCGCCATGAACTCCCGATGTGTGGGAGACAAGGTATCCCAGATCATGCGTGCGATTCCTGCGCGCTGCACGCGCATGTTCCGGCATGCGTGAGTAAGGGCAGTGATTCGCTCACATCGGACACCATGCGCTGTCCTGTACTGCCCCCGAAGGGCCAAGGCAGAAACGTGCGAGAAATCAGGTGAAAGGAGAGAGACTTGATCATGTGCCGGCGCATTGCAGACTGAGCTTTGTCGAAAGCTTCGCCGTACTTGTTCTCTTTGCCCATGACCGTGTCGGAGTCTTCTCCGAAGAAGACCTTCATGATGCTGTCCATCGTAAAAGTGAAAAACCCTTGGCTCACAGAACTTCAGCTTTTGAGCCAAAAGCTTTTGAGCCAAGTAACCCATCTGGAGGTCCACTGGCTCCTGTCATCACATGTGCAGGAAGGTGCAAGGCATGCAGCAACACGTTGGCATGGACTCCACTGCATGTCATAGCACTTGCTCTATGCTTCTCCTGCTGCGTCTGCGGACGTGAGAGAAAACTGCGCAGTGCTTCGGCTTTCTCCACGAACACATCCTGCATCCTTGTGATTTGGATAGTCTCGTACGCATGTGATCATGTGCATAGACGATAAGCGGTAGTGTGATAGGAGCCAGGAGTCAGGGAGTTGAAATTCTTCCGGCTAAAAATTTGAGATGAAATCTTCCGCATCTGCGCCCAAGCTTTTCCATCATCTTTGGAGCCTGTACCGTGCCTGGAAAAGCCCACAGACTTGTCAACAAGACAGTTGGGTTCACACGTAACTGACGCAGCAATCAATCCCATGCTGCCCGTCAAACATCTTGCCTGACAGTGAAGATCCCGTCCCCCAAGAATTCCTGGCAGTCATGTTACTTCTCGGTTGAGTTCACGTTCCATTCTCGATCAAAGACATCCAGGCAATGGACATGCGGAGCTCCTGCAAGTAAAAGAAGACAGGGTTTTCTGATGGGTCTCCCTTTGTGTACCTGATTGCAGGCTCTGTCACTGGGGCCATGATGGCTGCAACACTTATTGTGAAAGCGTCGAGCCAGGCTCACACGTCAAAGGAGTCCTTCAAGAAGTGGCGAACCATTGCAGGGTCCCCGCAGATTACAGAGTGCCCCCCACTGCTCCACCTCGCACATTTTTGGCTGGACCAGCAAAGAAGGACACTGTAGCTGCGCCGTGCCTGAAGCCCAAGTTCTTGCAGATTTGCATTCCCTCGCAGATTTCGTAGCGCCAGTCGTTGACCTCGAGGCATGCATATATGCAGATTTTTGCATGGCCTCACTATGGGAGACTTTTCTTCTTGCAGATTCCACTTTTGGCGGGCGACGTCAAGAACGACGACTCGATTGAATAAGCCAGCACCGCATACAAGGTGTAAAGCTAACACGACTCAGCACTAAAACGGATGGACAAGCACGAAATCCCTAAACCCTAAACCCTAAACCCGAGCCATCTTTGGCAAAGCGGCGCGCTGCCAGTTGTCTCTCATCCCCTTGAGCCAAGACATCGGCGCCTCGTTGCCTCGGAAAGTGCACGCGACCTTCTTACTTCGAATAGGACCTTGGGCTCTCTTTTGGAAGGGTAGAGTCGATGTAGCGATATAATGCTATAAATTATAAAGGGACTCTAGGGGGAGACTGTGACTGTCCCCCAAATGCCCACAAAATAGATCTAGCAGGCTGGCTAGACCCAGAATCCTGGCCGAGTTGCCTTTTGTTGACGGAATGTCAGCCAGCATGTCCTTGCTGAGCAACGGCTGACAGAAAACTGCAAAGCTTTCACAAACTTAGGGCGAGGGTGAGACTTTGAGACAAATTAGTGCCACTCCTTTACCTCTGCATACACATATCGACCATGCCCCCCCCCGGCTCCGGCCACTGCGACCACTGTCAGCATGTCAAGTCTTACGCGACGATAAGGATGCAGTGTTCATCGGAGAACATTTTTCGGTACTGGAGGTGAGATTCTGACACATATACAGGTCGCCATTGCCGCTGGTGAGTCTTCCGACCGTTCTGAGCATCACTTCGTGACAGCGTGTCATGTTTCTGGTTGCGCCCAGCAAAGTGCATCGTGCCTGGCCGGCGTCCGGCATCATCCCCTCCGCTTACCACAGTTTCGTGCTGGGAATAGCATGGACCCTGTCAGAGAAGTCATGCCAATCTGAAGCATGTGTCCCGCGAAACTCCGCTCCCATCGATTCCTCCGAAAACGAGCTTTGCACAAAAAGGTAAGACCTCCCCCAAACACAGAACCCAGCCGCAGCCGGAGCCCGAGGCAGAAAGCGAGCACAGAAAGCTGGCTGTTGGCCGTCGTCCCCAAAAAGTTGCGCCGAAGAGTGCAAATCCGGGTTTGGTTATGCTATGATATTTCAAGTTTCATGTCCAAGCGTCTCGCATCCTCAGGGACTCCCTCCAGCCGCGGATAAGGCGGATAAAGACTTGGACAGCACCGAAAGCACCTCGCGAACAGACGCGTCTTGACAAAAATTCAGATTGCTGCGACACCCCGACGGTTCTGTTCTAGCAGTCGAGTAGCTGTATGCCAACAAGCCTTTCAACAGCAACTGCTTCGGCAAGGAGTCGACACTCCCAGGCCGTGGCTTCGCATCGTCCATGGGCCGTGCACTGCCACTCAAGGCAGCAATGCTTGCCGCGTGGCTACTACGTTGACTAAGGAAGCTGTGAACCGGCACATGCAAGAGACCCGGGTGACAAGTAACGAGGAAAATGCCTGAAATATGTTGGAAGAATTCAGGGACATGGAAAGGTGGGTGTCCGTTTCCCCATTATTTTCTGACTCCGGCAGGGCTTCAGCCTGCTGGTCGGGTCGGCCTACTCGTGAGACCCCCAGACAGACACGCAGATCTCCCATCCTTCAAAAGTGTGCGTCTGCGGTCTGTCCAATTATGGCCACTTCATGGCAGCGGCCCAGTGCTGGCGCATGCGACCAAACGATCCGTCTGTTGCAAGGCTTCCGAGAAGTCACCCTCTGAGTCTCCGTGCGGTCTGTCCTGGACTCGGGACTGCCTACACCGTGATAGACTGTGCAAGCGCCATGGTGAATGTGCTCCTCAACCAGCACAGTTTTCGCCTTGACCATTAAGCTCAACAGTCGGCCTGCACTGTCACATGCGCCCCTGTGATCTAGTCTGACTCACGGTCACTGGGCCTAGCATGTAAGCTTTGCAACAGCTCCCTGGCTCCCGCCTGCTACCAGTCCCTGACATGGACAAGGAACTCCTCCTTGCCATTGCTCTTGATGTCAAGGGTAATCTTGTCACCGTAGGTGATGTTCTGTCCGGGTACCATCTCGAATCGGCAGTGACGAAGCAACTCCACTGCAGCTGTCTTCGCTTCGAAGAGAGCCATGTCCATGCCTGAAAGCACCCATTCTCAAGGCTTTCTCCAGAAGCCCCTTCACCGGCTCAACACTAAAACGAGAGCCAGGAGGCCGAGGCAAATCCGCGGTCCCGCTTGGAAGACGGGGAACTCGTGTTGAGACGGTGCTGTAAACGGGATCCATCGTTCTGGGCGGAAAGCCTGGGTGAGCAGCCCAGCCCCACGGAGGCGTAACCCTTCTCGACATGCGAGTTGGGAAAGCACGACAGAGACATATATAGAGTCTAGAGGGACAGAGAGAGCGAGGCACGAGGTCTCGACCACAGGCATGCTCCAGCTAAGTTGCCTCGGGTTCTGGGTATCGTTTTGGATCCCGGCCCATGTTGTAGGGGCAGTAAGCCACCTGTGCCAGGGCTGGCACTTTCCACCTGAATCGAGGAACCAAAAGGCATCAACAGGCTGGAGTGAGTCTGAATTTCGATGCAGGCTTTTTCACCCTGTCTTTGCCAGGCACCCACCGGGCAGGACATCGTCTTCGAAAGCCATCTTCGGGTCGAAGGGCACCGGAGGCCACAGCCGAAGGGCTTCGTACATCACGCCATTCAGGTATGGCATTTCACTCGCCTCGGTTTCTTTTCCAAGCCTACTTCAGGTGCGGTTTCTCGTCTTTTCTGCATGTGCCGGACAGTCTTCCTGCTGCATCTTGGGCACAGTTAGGCTCTTCATGTCAAGCTTGGTGCCTGAAGGAAACTCTCCGGAACGCGCAGCTTTCATGGCCAAGTATGCGAGCTAACGTCGCCGTACCTGGTGGCAGCTTCTCCATAATCTCGTCATGAAGTCGAGACTGAACGCCTGGGTTCCGGGTGAGTTCGTAGAACGCCCATGACCTGGGAATGGGCCAGACCTTCAATTGACCCCGTGCGGTGTGCAGACGTTCTCTATCACCAGGGAGCAATAGGCAAGCCGTGGTGTCTCTCCCAGCGATGATCAAGTGCAACACCATCTGCTTCACGAAGTCCGTGCTGAACTTCGCCTGTGACAGCTAAGGCGAGCTCTTCATGAGCACGGCTTCTGGTCGAACGAGGCTCGTGCACATCCTGAGCCCAGCTACTGCTAAAGTGCGTCGAAACATGCCTACAATACAAGATGAAAGTGTCCGCAAATCTCGGGCTGCCTGGATAAACAGCGCGAGTAAGTCTCGTCGCTCAGGAAGCTTTGGATCGTCACGACACTTCTTGACCAGACGGTCGGCCTTGCAAAGGGCTCCATTTCAAGACGGACGACAAGCTCCACAATACCTGATCAAGAAGCTACAAGGCTCCCAGACACCCGAAACAACCGCACATAGAACTGCGCTTAAAGTCTAAAGCCGATTACAAGTTCACGGAGCCTCCCGATCGAGCACCCGGCATGATGACTTCAGTGTCCGGAACCCTGCAGCTCAACTCAGATCTCCCCGCTCAACATGGATGAAAAGAGGGACACTGCATGGCAGAAACTAAGCTGTGAGCATCCTGGGGGAACTAAAACCACAGTCTATCATTCGACCCATCTGCATGCTCAATTGTCAACCACTGACGGAAAACTTTGCGGCCACAGAGGCTCGAGGATGACCAGTCCCACAGCCAACGAGCCAATCCTCCTGTCCAAAAAGTCTGCATGAAAACAAAATGACTCAAGAAAGCTGCTTGAACGTCCCGTCCGTGTCGGCCACCGAAAGGCCACGGCAGGAACGTGCTGAAAAACATGAAGGGTGCCAGCGAATCCACGGCATGATTCCGCATGTTGTTCTGCGCAGTGTCGAAAGCCTCGGAAGGACCCAGATAAACGAGAGCGAACGCCTACGCAGGCGCACTGGATGAGTGTGCAGTCAAAGCCTTGCCGTACTTGTTGGGAACACCGACAGCCGTGTTGGACTCTTCGCCAAAGAAGATGCGCATGATGCTATCGAAAGTGAAGTTGAAGAAGCCTTGTCAAGGCTATCCATCCATTTATTCGCGCATGCTGCTCTCATTTGTCGATGACAACATGAAACGTGTGAGAAGAAGGGAAATCGTCATGCCCTGCCTGCATGACTTTGAGCTGTTCCAAATGAAAACACTGCACAGGGCAAGTCACAAGCTTCGATGTCGAACACATCGACGAGCAGCCGGCCACTTCAACGACACTGATAGGCGGAAGCGACCGCGAGAAAAGCACACTGCTGTACAGAAAAGAAGAAGGAGGAACGAAATCGATTCGAGGTCTCCGAACAGTCTCGAGATGTTTGAGACCTGCTGTTCAGAAGCGAAGTATGCTTTGCAAACTGCTCCGACTCTCACTTAACCAGACTGATGCTTAAAGCAGGGTCCGGCACCTCCATAACCTACCCCGCAGATCCCCTGAAGGCCTTGCTCCTGCTCATCCCTGAGACTCTCAGGAAGAAACGTTTTTTGGCTGCAATCGAGATGCAAGATTGTAAGTCCACCTGCTTCTTTTCATCTCGAGATTTCTGGAGAAAACGGCGCAATATCTCTGCCTTCTCCACGAAGACCTCGTTCATCCTCGGATTAACGGACCAAGACTTGTGCAACAAGTAGAAGCTTCTATCCACCGAGGGGCAGAGAGTTGAAATTCTTCCGACTGAAGATCTGCGACGAAACCTTGCGCATGTGGCCCCAGTCTTGACCGCGATCTTCAGAACCTCCCGGGGCTTGGCGTTGTCACGTCAAAGTCACGGTTCACAAAGGGTCCAACCTGGCCTACGCCATGCTTGCTCACGAAAATGCCATCGCCCAGGAACTCCTGGCCATTTCTATTCATGAGTCGGTGGGGCCATTAGTTCGCTAGCTCCCAGTTGAAGGCCATTTCTACAGCGATGAAGTCGGCAGGTAACATCAGATCCTGGAAGTAGAAGAAGAACGGATCGTACAAGCATTCTGGCTTCGTGTACTTGTTGAACTCATCCTTCAAGATGTGACGCACGATCTCCGCATCGTTTGCGATCAAGGTGTACATCCCAGGGTGCCAGCTGAAGCCCACGTTCTTGGAAATCGGTTGCCCATCGCAGATTTCAAGACGCCAGTCGTGAATACGGTAGAGGTTCGTTGTAAGGTCCTGAAGACACAACGGCAGCATCTCCAAGCAATCGAGAAACTACAATGCTGGCATCGCTCGAGCAAAGAAGCTTTCCTTGAGCCAGCCAGCAGGTGCTTCGTGCCCGGCTCCCTTCGTGGCGGGTACATCTTCTAGAAGGCCTTTCATCCGAGAGGATGCTCGCCATCCCCATATCAAGCGGTAGAGAACCTGCACCTGCAGCGAAAATCAGCGCCTAAAGACGAAAGCAAAATAGCAAGTTCAAGTACCCAGACTCAAGCGACTCAAGCAGTGCCGGCCAGTCCACAGCACCAAAGATACCGTAGCCCAAAAGAGTGGTGACCACCAGCTGCTTGGAAAGGGCGGTCCCCTTCGAGTCTTCCATGGCACCCGCGGGAAGCACAAGTTTGGTTTCCAACTATCCGTCGGTGCCAAACTGGCTGCAGAACAAGCGCATTGCAACGTGGATGGATGCATGATGTTGCAGGCGAAAAGACGGTCATGCCCAGCTGCGCGTGTATTCCTGGACTTCTAAAGCTGGTGAGCATGATGACCTCGTGAGGCAGTGGCGTGTGCTGTGCTTCAGCAAGTTGCTTCTGAAGCCTTTCGACCTCAGGATGCTGCGGGGATGAAAATCGAAGTGAAGGCGTCTCCGTACACCGAAGGGCACCCGGCCTCACTTCGATCTTTTTCCAAGTCGACCGCCTGCAAGGAGCCGCAGCATCGAGACTTGGAAGAAGCTTGTTGAAAGCTGTCGCAGTATGTCGCCAAGGTTGCCAGGGAAGTGCTGAAAACTTCTCGAATTCATGCATCTGACTTTCTTCTGAGATCCTCGACCCTTCTGTTCTGGGACTAGAATCGGACCAGAACAGATGAATTCGTGGTCCTCGCGACATGCGAGAATTGCTAGCAGCCTCCGGACTACATAACTTCCTATTCATCCACCACGCTGCTTAGCATCCAAGGAGACTGGCTCACAGCTGCGACTTGTCAGGACTTCGTGGCACTTCTGCAGTTCGAGCCTGCTCACCACATTGCTTGCGGAGATCTTCCTGTGCAAATTCGGCTGGCACGGATTGCAAATTGGTCCCTCAAGGATCCAGATTTTGCAGTAGATGGTGAGGCCTCAGCAGATAGGCGCAGCGTGCGCTCTCTTTTCAGGCACTCCTGCCCAGGGAGCACCGCGATGCACCGCACCTCAGTCTTCAGCGCCTCGGGCAAAGAACGGCGACCCAGCCTCCCAACTCCTCTGAGCTTCACTGAACTCCTCCATGGCAGGGTTTTGAGATCACTCGAACCCGCACAAATGCAGGAACCAATGAGGCTATAAACTGTTCCGAGGCTTCAAGCCCTTTCTGCAAGGTGCAACTCCAGACACACGCAAAGCTTCCTGCACCGCTTTGTCTGCAAAAGCCGCCATCTGCAGCTCCTGCTATCAATAAATGACGCATCAGAAACCACAGAAGCGCATCTGCACAAAAATGCACTGCAAATACACACAACGGTCATCACAAGATCTTAAAATGCTTTGGGGATTATCCCAGGTGGCAAGTTGCGAAGCGATACTGAGACAATCAAAGCCTGGCTGGTTATCTTCTCGTTCAGCGCTTGGAGAGCCTTGTCCTGGGAACGAACAGGTGAACCGATCCGATCCCTGCCGCCGGCAAGCGTCGAATTGGTCCAAAGTTAAAGAACACAGCCACGCAACGTCATCGGCCTTTTGACGTAAGACGCTGGTGAGGGACTCCAAGATACAAAAACTTCTTCCCCACTTGTACGCTCGATATTAAGTCCTTGGGGCCCCTGAGGCTCCTCGAAACATATGTCCGATTGTCAGTCAAACAACAGGCCAGATGTTGCGGAATGTTCAAGGCCGAAAGAATCGCTCTACCGAATGCGTTACAGCTGCCCCTTACAGGTTTTGAGTCAGCCTTCGGGGTTTGCTGCTGCAGCACTGAGGCACCCACACCTTTGGCACAATTGCCTGCTATTTCCTTCCGGCAGCGAGGAGCGAGCCCAAAGATTCTAGATTGATTCTACATGCTCAACTTTAGATCTTCCAGTCTCTGCGATTTTTGGCCAAACCAAACTGCTAGATTCTACGAGACCTCTGGAGTCCGCAAGGGCCCCTCCAGGTGAGGCGAAGGGCCATGAAGCGCATCGGCAAGGACAAGATTCGGATTCGAAAGGAGCGGCTCCGCAGTACAATCCACGCTTCATGTGACCGGGCCCGCCAAGCCCAACCCTCCCCGTTTCAGCTTGCTGTGGCAAGCGGGGGAACGGCCCTTCAGAGAGTATTTTGAATCCAGCACGGGGACGAAAGCTCAACAAGCGGAAGATGCAGAGCAGACGTGCAGACCGAGTGCTAAAGCCAATGAAAATCGCCGACAAATTCACGGTTGCCAGAAGGGATTCTTCTCACCTAAGATGGCGCCTCCCACCCTGCCATGACCGTGCCTCTCTGAGGGCCGGGCGGTAACCCCAAAATCAAACCCTGCTCCTCCCCACAGCACCCCTCCCCAAAATTTCCCTCAAAGCGTTGCTGATCAGCAAAACTCGTTTCAGGCGAAAGATATCGAAAGATCAGGGACGGGAGACTTTTGCGTATGTGCCTACATGCTCGTGATCTACAGAACCCAGCTAAGTCACACCTGCTACTGGTACGACTGCAGCAGGCCATAGCAGGCCTGTGCACGGCTGTTGATCTTTTCGGTCAACGTCGTGGCAAAAGCCTGCAAATCCCATTCACCGACATGTGCCTGCGATGCAAAGGCTTTCTGTGAATAAAAAAGTTGTGCCTGCCACCGCTGTAGGCCGTAAGACCAGCTTTCCTGTCAATTCACTGCCCTCTTCCCACCACGATCCAAAGGAGCAACGCACATGAAGGGGCCTGTGGCTCAAGTCCTTCAAACGACCCCGCAAATGTCCGAAGGTTCGTTACTCAGTCTCTGCCTTGAGCTCGTCGAAGGTACTTCCATCGATGAAATGCAGCAAGCGCAGCGTGAAGCGGGCCCACCTTACAACGAACAGCCTGACGATCGGGGCCTGACCTCTACACGATTCAAGAACCACCCAGAGCTGGAGCACACCAGCCCATCGTCAGGCTTTGCTTATCATCAGGCGTCCGCCGTGACATGCGCTCAAGGGTCTGAGACGAAAGGCTGAGGCAACAACCTGCTCTCTCGCACGTCTGATGCTGCCTGTGTAGTGTAGCTCAAGTTGTGCATCACAAAAAGTCGGGGCTTGGAACTTGGAACCGAGAAGACTTTCAAGGGTCACGCGTTCTTGTCGGCAGTAGAGTAGAATCAGACTTTCTCATGTCGTTAGTCCGTGGCTGTGCTGCCTGCTTTCTGAAAGCCTCAGCCACCGCTGTGTGTTCCTGGTCCAGTTGCAATGCAAGGCCAAGGCATCCCTCAGACCTGGCAGCTCTTGCCTGCTTAACTCTGCCAGAAGCAGTCCCAGTCCTCCAACTCGGCCCTTGCACCATTTCTCTCGGCCATCAGTTTGGCAGCGACCTTTCAAGAGACTTAGACGAGTACAACACTTCTGCAAAGAGATTGAACGCATCCAGTCCAAACCTGGCTACTGCAAAACTGAGCTAACAGGACCTCTTCGCACTGATGTAGTGACTCGACTGCTTGGCGGCGTGTTCGACGCTCTGTCTCCAAAGCCGCCTTGGGCAGAGGCGGCTTTGGAACCGCAACCCTCGCTGCTGCTCTGAGTTTCTGGCCTCGGCCTCGGAAAGGCCATCCCTCAGCTTTACCAGCTCTGAGGTGGCCTGCACAGCCAAGCCTGACACCAAGGCTGGACTCTAACGCATTCCACAGCATCCTTTTTGGTGTGACCTCGAGATTCCTCCAGCTCTTTCTGAGCTAGTGCCGTTTCCATCTTCGCTTCCTCAAGCGCCTCCAAGGAAACGGCAACAGTCCGTCGACGCAGGAAGCGACTCAGACGCACGGGCCATGGCCACTATGGCAAGCCTCGGACGAAACATCGGCCGCCAGCCTCAGCAACCGCCCGGGACAGCGGAAGCAGAACGCACCTGCCGCCATCCCAAATCCACTTCGACTGATGCGAAGCTCAGCTGGAGCAGAACAGCCCAAACCTGGCACATGCGCCCCTCAGCACTCCGGGCTCATGGCTCCATACCAGAGTCGACTGCCAGTCCCTGTCAAGCTGAAGGATTGGCACGCGTCACCCTCCGCCCGTTGCGCCCCATGTCCCCCTTTGGCCACGGCATTTTCTATTCAAATCCTCCATGCACTGCCCCGCCCGCCCCCGGCAAAGCGAGGCCGGGCCTCCCTTCGAAGAGCCGCGCGCAAGGCCGTCAGCTCCGCTCGGAAGCGCTGGGCGTTGGCAGCGTGCTGCGAAGCGGGGAAGCGCCAGCACCAAAAGTAGAACTCCAACTTCCTCGAAGCAAAATGAGAAACTTGCGACTCTTGCCTGCTGCCATTGCAGCTGCTGGAGTTCGCGGAGCCTTACGGCTTCTGCACGAAGCGCTGTGACCTTTTAGCACCATCATTTGCAGATCACAAGAATCAGAAACGTCGTTTCGGTGTCTTGCAGATGGGCACGCAAGACTGGCAACTGCTACTACTAGCATACAAGGGCTTCGCCCGGTAGGATGTAAATTTCAGTATGCGTTGGTTTGGATCTGCAGAACATGTTCCTGCTGTGACCCTCTCTACAATCGCAAAAGTCATGCACTGAAAGCTGACAACCAGCCAGTCAGAGCATGCCGGCTCGTCACCGATCATTACAATGCTGCGCCGGCACGAGCAACATCTGAAAACTCCATGGGTCTACCCGGCCAGCCTCGCGGTCCGTAAGATCATTGCCAGGATCCGCACTGCCAGGTTCGCGGGTTGAGGCCACACCGGTTGAAGAGAAGCACCCGTTTCAGTACGGTCAGCTCGCTCGATTGTGCTCATTTCAACATTGCAAGCCTTGCCTCGTGGCAGTTTCCTGTGCATTCCTGCCCGTTGCAGAGCAAGCAAAGCAAAACGCATGGCGATGCCACCCAAAGCACGACACGCTCTTTGCCCGGCGCCTTACTGAGATGGCATCCAACTCCCACCGAAGCGCTTGACCTGAAGATCCGAGTTTTTCGATCATGACAAGAGACGCCACAGCTCCCGATTCCGGAGCTAAGGCAAAGACACATTGCCTCGCTTTCGGCCAGCTTCTTGTCAAGCTGATCCACTTCCTGTCATCTTGTTCTGCTGACTGACTTTTTGGGCTGTGCGGCTGAGGACCAACTACTGCAATACCGTTACCCCGTTCATAATCGAACCCCAAATTTCGACATTACTCAATGAGGTCGAGGCATCACCAGCAAGACTTGACAAAGAAAAGGAAAGACAGACCCATGCAACCTCCCGTGACCGAGTCTCATCAGCGACCTCAGACAAGAACCAAGCGCAAAGCAAGGATCTCTTTGTCTGTGATAGGTGATCCAAAGGAGCTGCCGAGTACCGGGTGCCCAACACACTCCAGCTTCTCCTGGCTGGCTGGTTGTATGCACACACACATACTGTCACATACTGCGTAATCTGCTGAATACAATCCGCTTTATGATTTTCCGTCTTACGTTCTTTCTCGGATAGGGTTGCTGCTCAGCCGTTTACGCGAGTGCATTGCGAAAAACAGCTCGACCAACGTCGGGGCGTAGCTCCATGTGGGTTTTTGGCACTCGGCGGCATGATAACCGAGTTGTGATATAAGCCTTGGCTCTGCGGCAGCATTGCTAGTGTCACCTCGCCCGCCTCGGCCTCAACGACTCTCTACCTGCAACCCATCTTTTCACCGTGAGTCGAAGGTCCGGCATGGACTCGTGCGACTGATGCACGTATGCCATGAGCCATAGGCAACAATTTCACTGTCGTTCGTCGGAGTTCCTTGAGATGCTGAAACGCTCCTTCACCGGGATACACTTGCCGGCTCCGGTAGACTCTTAGCGAACTGTGTCTGATGGAAGAAGTGACTGACACTTCTGCACGCAAGCTGGCCTTCATGGCAATAAGCTCCGCCTGAAGCTCGTTGTTCTCACCTCAGCATGAGACTCGATGAAATCATGGGCTGCGAGTCCACGACCGTGCCCAGATAGCAAGCCGTCGGCAGAGTACAGCCCGCACAGCCATCCACAAGGCAAACTGCCGCACATGCGACATAATTGCAGCATAATGCTATGAACCTTCTGCCAAGCCCCAGGCTATCTGCTTCGATAGCAAGTTGCTGCAGTGACGATTTCGCTTGATCCACCTCAAAAGCTTTCAAAATTAAAGCAAACCTCTTATCTCACAGCACTCCAGACGACCAGCAACGGTGTCCGAAGGGAACTCCCATCGTTTGGGCCAGCTTGATTCGCATCTTTACAAAGCGAGGCTGCAGCAATCTCGGTCAGCTTGTGGATCTGCTTGTCTCTGTCGTGAAGCTCCGCCTCAACGACGCTACGATCTGCTTCAGAAATCTTCAACGGGCTTCGCCGTTCCTGCTCGCCTCGTCCTACACTTCACACACTTGTGGACAGGCCTCCTGCAATCGCACCTTCTGCTCGAGCCTCGGAACGGAGAAGATGGACACGCCAAAACGCACGAAATGCTCGAGCAGACCATGTTCACTCCGCTCTCCGGTGTGGAAAAGTCACGCGCTGTAAAAGACTTTGCTTGGAGTCGAGCAGTGGCACTCTGGGCTGAAAAGCCTGGATCGACATTGCACGAAGTTGCGCGGTCGCCGATCTAGCTGAGTTGAAGTGGACCTGCCCTTGTCAATGAGCTGTCTTTGACATGTTTTCACAAGCTCGAAGGGGTATTCTCGCGAGTGTCTCGAGACATGACTCGATGCCCAAGAAACTTGCAACACAACTCTGGTGGCCCTCCTTCAGCTTCTGAAGTTGGGCTTCTTTCTCGGACAGGATTGCCTGAAGAGGCAAAGCTCGGCCGGCCGGGCGACTGCGCCGCAACAGAGCCAAAGTGCCTCGTGAGAGCGGCATCGTCCCTCCAACCTTCGGAAGATGCTTGGGAAAGAGGAGGAGCTTGGGAGCTTGCAGCGAGATGCAGCGCATACACCCGGCGCCGGGCATCAGAACACGCAGACGAAGTTGCTCCTGCGAAGGGGCACACATCCCTCACATCCCTCACAAACGCCAAGGTGCTCTCCGGCCCCAAACTTCCGCCACTTCTGAGCCAGCTGCGCCATCAGCGCTCTCTTTGAGCTTCTGGAGATGAGCATCTTTCTCCAACAGCATGGCCTCTATGTGAACAGAGCTCCCGTGTCTCCACAGAGCCCGTGAAGTGCCAGCAAGTAGACTTGTGCCTCCTGAGCTCGGCATTTCTGCTCCAGCCTGACTTCTGCACTGAACGGAACCCGACTGTTTCAATTCAGCGACGAGCTCTCACACCTTGTCTGACATCAACAGCCCCGCTTTGAGGCAACCGGACGGACAAAGACGCATGTGCACACAATGGCTGCCACACTTGCGCTACTGCTGTGCGGAGACTCCACCGTTTGCGAACTCCAGGCTGTCCGTGGAGAATCGTGAGGGCTGTGAGCAATCTAATCACTCGAGTGTTGGGAACATATCTTGTACCGACTTGTACCGTCGAATGCTGATCACATTGCCTTCGCCACCCGATTATCCGTTACGGTAGCCCTTGAAGGAAGCTCTCAGAACGACCATGCTTGCAAATGCCGTCAAAACCAGCCATGATCAAACGCTGAGTCGAGTCTAAGCTTCTGGCATCAGCAAGCGCTGTGGCAGGGGATCCTCATGCAGGACCACCTCTGTGCAACAAACTTCTCCCATACTCTGCCCAGAAGCATTCACGTGAATGCATTCGCCTTGCTGCTGTGGGTGATCATTGCAGGCATGGTGATCCTTTTCACATGTTCTTACAAGACAGGAGAACCTAGCCTCACAGCATTCTTGCAAAAGGCCGGAAGTCTCCTTATTGGCGAAGCTGGAGCGCTGGGATGAACTCCTCGAGAGTTTTGTGGGTACAGTAGTTCGACATCACAATTTGTCGACGCCTTGTGGCTCTCTGCCGGTAATAGGTTCTGTAACCTGGGTCAGCAACCGATGCCCCGGGTCAGCCGTGCTATCGTCAGCCGTGCTATCATGTGTTGGAATAGACGAAGATGCCCCAAAAGCACGGTAGCACTGCAGCGTCACAAACTTTCTGCTTGTCGCAAGCCGTTCCGATTCGACGGGTGTGGAGCCTGGCAGCAGCCAGGTTTGTTCTGAAGCACCGATCCATCAAGGCTGCGAGACCTCCTTTCGATCGGCGCCAACGCGGCGCCGCTGGTCGAGAAACGGATCCTTGTAGCTCCGGCAGGAAGCAACACATCCGGCATGGTTGTATTGTCGCGCCTTCCCAGCAGCAACAATCAATGATGGCACCTCCGCGCCAAATCCTCCAGCACGCAAGGCAGTGTGCAAGGGGCACGGAAGGACAAGGTCTGCCATGTGGTCGTCAACTGTCGGTACCAATGGTGATGAGTGATGATGATGACGATGCATGATGATGAGGACCTTTAGGCAGGAGGAGGAGGAGGAGGAGTCTGATTTTGACGCCGATTCTAATGGTGATAATGACCATGATCATGATCATGATCAAGATGGCCAACCTCTGCCTGAAGATCAATAGGCTTGAAGATCAATAGGCGCAGTACGGTGATGATGACGGATAGTCAGCCTCTTGGTGCTGGTGATGTAGCTACTTCTGCCGCCACCACCCCACCGTGGCCACACTCGCTGCCGCCGCTACCGCGTTGCTGCGGCTGCTGCTGCTGCCTCTGGCGATTCCTCTTCTTCTGTTGCTGCCGCCGCCGCTGCCGGTGGTGCTACTGCTAACCATCTCTCCGCTGCCGCTGCATCTGCTGCTCCTGCTTTCGGATCTACTTCTCCTCCTTCATCTCCTGCTAACGCATCGCCGGCGAATCTCTGTAGCTTGTTTTAGTAGCACGGCGTTCTTCGTTGTTTCGCTTACCTGGTCAACTGGTCTTCTTGGTCTTGCTGTTGCTGGTCCGTGTGATGAAGATGGGACTCCTTTTCTTGGTCAGTCCTGTCGCAACGCAAGCACAGCAGTCGAGAGCCCATAGACCACAGCAGGCTCTTCCGTGGCAGTCCAATGAAGGCTTGGACTTGCGGCGCGACCTCAGGTGCCGACCAAACTTTGGAGTTCCGGTTCCTTTATCGCACGAGATACCCAGCGAGCTAAGTCAACAAACGTGCACATGTCAGTATCTGAAAACAATCAGGTTTGCAAAACATCTGCGCCTCCACGGGAAAAGCCTGCAATAGCCTGCCGACCGCTGTCGCTGTTGCACGTCTGTGCGATCAGCTGACTAGCAACATACGCCGCCTCTGCAGGTTCAGTTGCCAGCGCCGGATTTCATTCCGAGCACCTCAGAATCCGGCCTTGCTGCTACGCATTCAGTTGTACGTGTTCCGAATCGTTCACTTCTACAATTTTGACAGGCGCACATTGAAGGTGCACAGTGACTTTAACTCAACTGGACTAACTAAAGCTTGAGCATCCGATCGATCCGGTAGTACGCCTCAAGCGAACGCCCAAAACGAGCAAGAACAGGCATGTTGGACCAGAGCAGTGAGGTTTGCGCCGGAACGACTAAGTGCTTGAACGTCGCCTGGCGCGACCTCAAGTCCAATGCCGGCTGAAACATCGTAACAGGATATCTTATAGTGCGCCTGTCGGAATGGGGCAGAAACTGAATCTTTAGTCTCCATCACGCAGTTGGCGCAGCATCGAGCCTGCGAAGTCTCACAGAAAAGACAAGACTTGCAACTCCAGGCTCCCGCCTTCATTGGCTTAAAGTTCTGTTTGGCAGCGAAGTCCGAAGCTGGCAGCATCCGACCGCCTCATAGTGCCAGGACTCTTCGGCAACCGACGGACGCTTTGCGACTGTTGCCCCAACAGGTCCTGTCCGGTTCCAAGCCCCAGGCATTGTGCACACGGGAAAGCGCTCTCCTCAGCCGCCCAGCAAGGAGTCGCAGCCAGCAAGGAACGCAGGCAGGTCGTCGCGTACGTAAACTAGGAGTAGCAAGAGCCCAACACCGAAAACAGTCAGATGCAGCAAGGCTTAAATCCCAGAAAGAGCACTCGCAGTGGCAGGACAGCACTGTTCAAGTCATCAATTTGCGTAATAGTGGCAGCAACAGCAGTCAGGTTTTTTTGGGCGGCCGAGACCTCAGCAGTCAGGCTACCAGAACCACTTCGCTGAATTGTCGCACGCCTCTTTTTCACTGAAGCGCGAGACTTCATGTTGAACACCACATCTCAGTCGTAGACTTTCTGCTCGGCGACCCAATTGCAGAACATGGCTCGGGACTCGCACACGAACTTGTCATACTTCTCGCCATCACAAAGCATCTTATGATGGGGTTGTGAACTCTTGCCCTCACAGTGTCCGCGAATCACTCTTGGAAGTGTCCACTGGCAGAAAAGAAAAAGCCTGTTGCAACTGCCTTGATCACGCAGAACCCCGCAAACTTTCCCATGAGCTTCGTGTCCAGCTTCCTTGGCCTTGCACATGCCATCACCTCCAGGGGAACTGATGGACGGGGCGCCGAACCCAGCATTGCCATAGACCTTTCTTTCCGGGATCCAGTGGCAAAACATGGTTTGAGACTCGCATACGGCCTTGTCATACTTCAGGCCATCACATAGCATCTTGTGGTGGGGTTGCGAACTTTTGCCCTCACAATGTCCCGGCACAACCGTTGGAAGAACCCAATCGCAAAACCGCGAGTCACATCTGCCCTCATCCTTGATCAAGCCGCAAGAGGCCCCGATGATGGCTTCATATCCCGGCTTACTCTGACACATGCCGTCACCGCCTGAAACTTCCAAACTCTGCAAACCATTCGTAGATTTTGCAGGACCTTGCATGTCACGAAGTGCATGGACAGCCATCAGCATAGACACTTGAACGCACCACATGGCGATAGATTTCACAAACTGACAGACAACCACATGTTAGTTCTCTTGAGAGACGGCTGCACGCAAGTCGAACTGATACCTGAACTTAAACAAAATTGAAAACAGTGGCAAAAGAATGGCAAACCCCTGAGCACTTGATGGAGTGGGCCAAGGCACTCAGACCGTCAAACCCTAAAGCCGAGAAGGAACAGGCACAGCAAAATGGGTCACGGCATGACAGGTACGAGTAACGTCAAGTCTGTCGTCGATGACTCCTAGGCATTGGCTGCTTGAGTCCCAACTCATGTTGCACTGGATGCTGACTCCCATTTGCCTGGTGGCTGACTCGTCATGTGGAGTGGGTGCCACTGAAGAGCTGCTGGCTCATGTGTTCAGTGGACAATGCAAACGTGCGCACTACAGTTTCTTCTGTGTCGATGTCAGGATTGTGGCCTGCGTTCTTGTCCTTGCTCCTGGTTCAACATAGTGAACCGATTCGTTTCTGTGGGAAAGCTGTGCAAGTGCTTGATATCACTTGGTGAAGCGTGGTGACTCGGTCTCCCACACACCGCTTGCAGCGCCGCTGTAGATCACTAACCTCGAAACATCCAAAGATCGCAGAAAGTGCACACATGGTGGGCTTTGCTAAGCAGAGGGCATCTCGAAGAGCAGCTGCAGTGAAAGAGCTGACAGAAGTGACTGTGCTCTTCCTCTCACCCTCCTTCCGGCGCTTCCCTTGTGACATTGCAGTGCTGCCTTCCCGGTAGGATAAGCCGGCAGCCGCTGCAGTAGGCATGTGGCTGTGACCGCCCCATGCTGGTGCAGAACTAGCAGAAATGACCGATGACCCACGTTGATCTTTACCGTTTTCATCCGGAATCGAGCCATGCTGTGTACAGTGACAGAAAGATCAATTGCAAAGGGAGCGATTGACAAAACCTGAATTTACTGCTTCTCCTGTACAGAACTAATCTATGACGGAACGTGGTGCGTTTGATTCACCTTCACCGCTTGAGCTTCGCGAGAGTACAGTAAACTCAATCAGAGGTCTTTCGTTGGTCAACTAGGAACTGCACCGGCCGCTCTCCTTCGTTCCACGGCCTCAAACACCAAGAAAGCTGAAAAAGTGCCGTCGCTAATGCTTCTTCATGCTGTTGTCCGCCGGCCTGCTTGCAGATGCATGCCTGGCATGAACCCAGCTTGTCCAGAACACACTGGCAGACTTGCGTTTGCTTCACTTCGGCCGTGCAACTCATGTGATCGTTCCGAACTAGCAGGGAACCCGCACAAGCCATCATTGACTGCCCAGGCGTGCATGGCGCTGGCGAGTCAGACCATCCCGCGAAATCTCAACCTGCTTACAGAAACTGCAGTGGAAGGCTTTCCATCCTTAACCTTGTCTCACCAGCATGGTCGCGTGATTAGACTTTATGTAAGGGCTCCCGATGCAAAGTACTTCTCACCGTTGCGTATACAAACACGTCCAACATGTGGGGTCTGGTTCAACCTAGCGGAGATGTCCCCTGACAGTGGTTTAGTTTTCCATGTGCGAGCTTCCACAAGAGCTACTAGTACAGCCTTTTGGCGAATTCACAAATGCATGCTGTCCAAGTTTGAGCCATTGCGAAGATGGTCGAGCATGCTCGGAACAGCACGTGCAGCAAAAGCAACTGCTTCAAATGCAAAGGAATTAGGAATGGGATTCGGGATCTCACACCTGGTAGAGACCCTCGGGATGATCAGCGATCACGCTGCGCGCTGCTTTTGTCAACCAGCTTGCAAGTAACGAAACGAGGCGAAGCTGCCAGTGCTTCGGCCAGGCGTCGGGCAACCGCCTGCCCCACATCCCAATTATTCAAACCTTCTCACACCTTACCGCCAAGAATCATTCTGCAAGAACATGCCACACTCCAATGGCCTTCCACCTTCCTCCATTGTGTCACTAGGTGCCTTCAACGCTGCCCGCACAGCATCGCAGGCTGCACCACTCAGGCGGCAGCCAGCTTGCCTAGGCGAAATCTCATGAAGTTTAGATGCCCAGGGGCAACTGACGACTGCTTCGGCACGTTGACCCATGGAAAAATGTTACAACCTCCAGTCAGAAGCCCTCAACAGCGGCGTGACAGAAATGAGCGTCGCACTGGCTAAAGATGTTGCGCAGTGCAAGCAGGTCAGCCTGCAGATAACCACCCCGACAACACAATCAGCAGCTGAACTAGCACGACTAGCTGCAGGAAGGACGGTTCGTGGTCACTTCGATTCGGTGACGATGAGAATGCAAATATGGTACACAATATGGTACACAATATGGTCTTATAAGACTTCTTACGGCACGATCACAGCGACCTCGACAATTCGCTGAGCGACTCGTGACCTAGTAGCCTTGAGGTCCAGCCTGCGTACAACGTTGGCCAGCTCGAACATGTGCGATGATTTCATGCAGCTTCCGAATGTCTCAAAGTCGCTAACCTGTCATCTCGCGCCTGCGCGCTGCTCGCCCAGCCGTTGGTCTCCTCGAGCTCAGCTCCTGCTATGCACGCCATTGCAAACGAGCAGCCGATGAAAGGCGGAGAGGAAACCCAAGGCGCGATTTGTCTTCACTCACGTCGAATGGGTCCTTCAAGCCATTGGGAGCCCGCCGTTCGACGCTCAAGCTCATGCCTCGGTCAAGGCTCTTTCCATGAGTACGGACAGGCAGAAGTGGACAAGCACCGAGCTGGCAGTTTGTGACAACTTGCCTGTGGCTGAATGGGAATGTGCACACCACCAGCTTGCTTCTGGCTAGTTGTATGCCTTTGCGTCACGTGTTCTCATGAAGAAGCAGATTGTCACGGGCGCTAGCCAGTCCAGCGAAAGAAAATCGGATGCATTCCCCTGGATCATATGCCAAAAATAGTGGGGCTCAGATGGATACGCATGTCCAGCCGAGCACCCGGCAAACCTCGCAGCAGAGTGTCAATCGTCTCAGTCACCTGCAGTCGCTCGAGCTCCTTGCATCTGAAAGTCCAGCTCTGTAACATCGCAAAGAGTATCGTGTTCCACTGAAGCAGGAAAACACCTTGTGATGCCCGTAAAGAGCAATTAAGCCAACCCGAATGCAGTCCTGAAGACAATCATCTTGTGGACTGCCTGTGGCCGAGCACCTGGCCAGGATGACGTGCCAATGCTCAGGATACATCCTCCCCGGACAAGAGTGGATGCCCCCAGCTACCTACCGACGGGCCGATGCAAACCGAAACAGCTTTCATAACATGTGGATGCAAGCTAGTACATCGCTTCAGTTGCACTGCTGAAAGCTACAACACCATCGTCATCGGCCTCGACGAAACTTTCCGAAAGGAGCCTGACACGTTCCCAGATGCAGGATTAGATTCCACCCCTGGCTGCAGCTGCTGAGTTTCGCAGAATCTGCGGATGCTTCAAGGCATCTCAGGAAGCTTTTCTGCGGACTACGTGGTCAATTGAGTCCGGTGTCCTGTTTCGAAGTCATCGCGGGATAGGTCTTTGCACAAAGCCTGCAACCAGTCATAGAGAAGCACTCCCAAGCACTGTCACTGCCATTCAACATCGCAACATTCACAAGATATCACACCACAACAGCATCGTCAGGTTGGAAGCTTCTTCAGCGCAAGACATCCTGGAATTGTGCTGCACGTGTGTGAGTGATCGAGCGATGCCAAAGTTCGGTAGCCTCCGCGGCACAGAGGGCACTCTGCACCTTCCAACTTAGCGTCTGGATCAATAATCCCCGCGATTTTATCAAAATTCCTTTACATTTGTGCAAGGCCCAACGCCAGCTCGCACCTGCTCTGCCCAAGCTTCGCTTTGTGCCGCGGAAACCTTTCTGAACTGGAATGTGAAACGAGACCAACCGCACACTACGACAAAGACATTGTGAAAGCAAGACTTTTGAAACATCTTCATCTCGGAAGCTGTCAGTTCGGCAGCAATTTCGGACAGCTTCTGCGCAGCCTGAAAACAATCAGTTGTCGGCACTGGAGCATGTCGCACGCCTTTCAGGTGCGATATAGCTTTTACCAAGATTTCCTGGTACTGAACGTTGCCCAGTGTAGTTTTGCTGCACACAAAGAGCAACACGGTCTGGTTGTGACCTGCAGCATCCCCATGCCAAATGCAGTGTTCCTGCACTTCCAGTGATGAAACACCTTCAAAGCTCATGCTTGTCTTAAACCTGGATGCAATGATGCAACAAGTGAAATGGCGCCATCTTAGCGCTGACAACTCTTGAATACGAATGCCTCGTATTAGTATAGCTGTTGCATCTTGAGCATGTTGATTAATGTGGCAACTACGGGCTCGAACCAAAAACATGCAAGTGAAGTTGCGTGCACATGATCCCAACTTGCCTCTGAAGTTTGTGGGCTCATCGACAAACAGATTTCCGCCATGGCGAAACTACAAGCACACGTAACAGCTCCAGAATCGTGGGCAGGGCTAAGAGTGCCCCACTGATTGAATGAATGAAGAAACCAACCAATGAATGAAAGGAAAGCCTCGCCGAACTGCATGTTGAAATGTGGCTACATCGTGAGCGCTCGCAAGAAGTCCTTTGAGCCATGTTTTCGTACACACGTACTGCCGACAATGCTCCTAATCATGCTCAATGTAGCCTTGGGCCACGTAGATCAAAATGCCACAAAAAATGCTCCAAAAAATGCTGCAAAAAATGCTCGGCAGAATCGCTTTTAGCTCAGAACTAGAAGCTGCTGTTGCGGCGCCGTCGCAAAAGCCCGGATCGGAACAAGAAATAGAATAAACAGCGAACAAGACATTGCCTTGGTCTGTTATTGACACTACAAAGATGCCGTCGCAATCATTGTGCATCGTACAGGCTCCGGCTGACGGCATTGACAACCTGTTCCGTGCCTTGGTTGCTTGGCTTGTCATTTTAGTAATGCGGGCAACAGAGAAATGCTGGACACGTTGGTTTAAGCACGTGAAACAAAGCTTCGAAGGATTCTAATGTAGTTAGTCACCTGACATTGCATGCAACAGCAGTCAAGTTCGCTCTTAGCAGCGATGAGGGGAGGGAGTCGACCGTCGTCAAAACCAAGCCGAACATGGAGCCGATTCCAGGAGACTGGTGGCCTTCTAGTGCCAACCCACAAGGGTTCGCCCCCCAGAGGTCACCAATTCTGCAACAGCTCCTAACAAGGTTCCAATTTCCTGTTGCTCTTTCAAACGCCACAACGCGACGACCTCAACACTTTCAATTCACTTGGCTCAACAACGGCGCCTGGGGCAGCCGTTTGTTTGCAAGAATACGTCCTCAGCAGGGAATGGAGCTACCCCTTCAGCAGGGAATGGAGCTACCCCCTCGGCAGGGAATACACCGATGCGGCAGAGCATCCAGAGCATCTGGCCCTGCCTCGTGCGGAAGAAACCCACCAGGAGGGTGCAACGACTGGAGCAGAGCTGCCCTCGGAATTTTGTCAACCCGATATACCACTGGCTCGGGAGCTTCCATTTACCAACCAACCATCGATGGAGCGGATCGAAGGAGCCCTTCATCCGCTGTGGCGCCTACCCTCGCTGCTAGAGCAGTCCGGAGACGAGCGCGGCCGTCACATCAAAGAACGGTTTTCCTACTGCATCAGCGTGCCGGGTTCAATAGAACACCTATTTAGTGTTATACCGTTGTCGGGCGAGCCCGATACCTCCGAGCTTGTGGACGCTGGAGGGCTGTCCCAGTGTCCTCTGGTGGGATAATCACGGAGCTGCTGCGACTGGTAAGGCCAACGGTGGACCAGGGGTGTATGATCTCGGATGTGATCGAGAAACATCAAACCCTGCCTGCAGACCCGTGCATTGACTGGCGTGGCAAAGAGATCGAGCTGCAGTCAGCTCTACGATACGTGTTACAGCGCCAATCTGCCTTGCACCAGTTACAATCCCCACAGTGCTCAATGGGATCAGGCACTCTTGTCGGCAGAGATGCCATCGACCTTGATTCTTCCGGTCACCCTGCCAGGAGAATCGGTGCAAGTCCTCGCGGAGTTGCTCAGGGTCTCAAGGGCAAGGGAAGAAAGAGCAAGGCAGGCTGCTGCCAACCTGCAATAATAATTCCCGACAGCGTGTCGAGCGTGAGGCCCTCAAGCAACGCTCGGAGCCTTCGGATCCCGCAAACTCCTGCGAAGATCCAAACCAAAGCGATGCCAGCAGTGAGCACCTATACTTTGGTACAGCAGGCCCGCAGCAAAGCAGAAGCACTTATCAGATTACAGCGGCAAATCCGACAGTCGGAAGCAGACGATCGGGCAGAGGAGGCGGCGGCCGCCTTCCAGTGGACGAACCGACCGCCCCCACCAATGCCGCCACCACCCTCACCATATCGTCGATGGCACCAGGGGAGCTGCCCGTACCGCCGCCCCCGGCGGAGTTACCAATCCCGGGTCCTCCTCTCTATCCGTATCCTGGCCAGATGATCCCGATGACGCCGCCTGTAGGTGACAGCAAATCAAAGACCATAACCCGCCAGCCGAGTACGGCCACGAGCATTGAACGGAGCCACGGCACCCTCAGATCTATCGCTGTTAAGCCGCACACGACTTCATCACAAACTTTTTTACAGCTGGTCAAGGCTGGGCACCACGTGATACTAACACAACATGCAGGAAGACAAACTTCCATTCTCATGCGCAAAGGTTGTGCTTTGAATCACAAAGCTTTCGCGTTGAATCATGATTGCGAGCCATGTGGAGGCAACACTTCCAGAAGAAAAAAAGGCAAATGAGAGGCATGTCCTGCGTTCCTCATTGGACAAACCTCAAAAATATCCAAAGCGCCAATGACTGATCGCATCACTTGCTACACTGGGACGAACTGCATGTTCCGACCAGTATCAACTCTTGACGGTATGTCGCCCTTGCCATTTTGCGAGCTGCTTCGCGTGACAGACTGCAAGCGATCCAAATTGGATCATAAGAACAGCTGCCGGAAGACCGGCGGGATAAAGTAGGCTTGCGATGCCGCTTGGCAGCTCGATAATCGGGGGCCTCGAGACCTGCTGCTATGCTTGCAGCTCACTTTGCGTGTATGAGAACCGACGCGGGCACGGTGATCTTGGAGTTGCCGGTATCAGGTCCCTCATAGCGCATCTTGAGATTCTCGCCACCACCCAGCTCGCACATCTCCACCACCAGCTGGTGGCTACCGGTCGAAAGGGACTTGTGAATGCTCGATCTCTCCTGTTCACCGTGGCAACCATTGTTGTCGACAATCCTCTCGCCGTTCAAGAACAAGAGGGAGCCGTCGTCCGAGGCGGTGTAGAACTTGTAGTTGCCGGCTTGATTGATGCTCACGTAGCCGCTGCACCTGATGCAGAAGTTGTCGGTTTGCGTGACGTGAGGGAACATGCCGTGGTGCATGTCGATATTCGGCAGAACCTCCGTATGAGCCGGGGTCAAAGCTCCGAGGTTCGGAACATGGCACTGGGCTTGGTTGTAGTAGTACTCGCACTCCAACCCGGGTTCAAAGAACTTGAGCTCATGCTTGAGAACCGATGCGGGCACTGCGATTTTGTGGTTGCCAGTATCAGGTCCCTCATAGCGCATCTTGAGATTCTCGCCACCACCCACCTCGCACATCTCCACCACCAGCTGGTGGCTGCCCTCCGCCATTGTCATGTGATGGCTCGACCTCTCCTGTTCGCCATGGCAGCCATTGTTGTCGACGATCCTCTCGCCGTTCAAGTACAAAAAAGAGCCGTCGTCCGAGGCGGTGTGGAACCGGTAGCTGCCCTCCGTCCTGATTGTGAGAAAACCACTGCACCTGATGCAGAAATTGTCGGTTTGCCTGACGTGAGGGAAGCTGCCGTGGTGCATGTAGACGTTCGGCAGAACCTCGGTATGAGCCGGGGTCAAAGCTCCGAGGTTCGGAACATGGCACTGGGCTTGGTTGTAGAAGTACTCGCACTCCAACCCGGATTCAAAGAACTTGGGCTCATGTTTGAGAACCGACGCCGGCACTGCGATTTTGTGGTTGTCAGTATCAGGTCCCTCATAGCGCATCTTGAGATTCTCGCCACCACCCACCTCGCACATGTCGACTACGAGATGATGGAAACCGGTCGGAAGAGACTTGTGATGGCTCGACCTCTCCAGTTCACCATGGCAGCCATTGTTGTCGACGATCCTCTCGCCGTTCAAGTACAACAAAGAGCCGTCGTCCGAGGCGGTGTGGAACCGGTAGTTGCCGGCGTGATTGATGCTCACATAGCCGCTGCACCTGATGCAGAAGTGGTCGGTCTGCCTAAGGTGAGGGAAGCTGCCGTGGATCATGTAGACGTTCGGCAGAACCTCGGTGTGAGCCGGGGTCAAACCACTTCCGAGGTCCGGAACATCGCACTGAGCGTGGTTGTAGAAGTACTCGCACTCCAGACCCTCTGTCAAAGGTGGCTTGATTGTCATCGCTTGGGCATCGGCATCTGGCACGATGCGGCAGTCCGAAATCGGACGACCGAAGGTGGTCCAATCTGTACGGGGGCCAGGGTGTCGCCTTGCGTCGGCCGTAAAGATCTCCGCGGTTTTGCCGTTCACAGTGATGGAGAAGTGGTGGCCGTCCACATCTCCAATCTGGGATGTGTTTCAGTTTAAGCAGCAAAAAAAAAGCTATTTACTTCCATCACGACAACGACCCAAGAAGTGTAGTCCGAATGGTGTAGATCGAGTGGCTCGCCACTTGCCAATCTGCACGAAGCCATGTCCGAAGGCGATTCCTGATGGCGCGCCAGTAGCTCGTCCAAACAAACTCCAGCCATGATGGGGTCCGTTGTGCACCGTGCCGTCATCGCCTGAAACCAAGAGAGGTGAGACATGGCGTGCAACACCAACATACCTTTCAATCTTGTGTGTCATGTGCCCCATCGGAACTAGCGCTGCAACTGCAAAACAAGCGACGCCAGATGATCGGAGCTTTGTTGTTGCGGTGGGAGAGGACGAGATGTCTCCCATTATGCTCCCATTCACCCAGTCGCCACCAATGGCCAAACTGGATAAACCGATCTCCGAACTTGATGGTGCTTCTGCCGGCCTCACGGTTCCAGGTGTGCCAGTCCCTTCGTGGGCCAGAGTGGGTGTGACCGTCGGAAGTGAGGATCAGGGGAGTGTGGATGCTGCGGTGCGAGAAGGAGAAGTGGTGCGAATCTATTCCCGCGACTCGCCAGTCGCTAAGTTGCAGGAAGCCGTCACCTGCTCTGGCGGTGGGCTTCTGTAAGGGTTCTGTAAGGTGTCCTTCAAGGGTTCCGTCTCTCTCTCTCTCTCTCTCTCTCTCTCTGTCTCTAAGTTCAAAGTTCTTCCAAGGTGAGTTTTAGGGGTGGGAATCCCTCTGTAAGTCCAGCCACCTGCGGTTATTCCGGGGCATGTTCCCAGAATTTCTTGGATGCCACCACAGTGCCACATCGCATATCGATCGTTGACCTAGGAAACAGGATCTAGGCAGTTGTGAGTCTGGGTTCAGGGGTCTAGAGACTACTTCAACTTCTACCCCGAAACAGAAGATAGTGAAGAAAAAAGCGAACGCTTTCCACGACGATCCAAATGACCCGATGGGCGTAGTGATGCTGTGTCCCAGGGACCAGATGGCCGTCCCCTCTGAAAATCTGAGGGCTTCTGTTGTGGCCTCTGTGGGTCACGTACACGTGCCAGTCATCTGCCTGGGCTATGACCGCGGTGGACTCGTCCAACAAAGCGAAGCAGAAATAGCAAGAGAAAGAGGAAGAGAGCGAGAGAGAGTTAGGAAGAGAGAGAGAGAGAAAGTCAGGAAGAGAGAGAGAGAGAGTCAGGAAGAGAGAGAGAGAGAGAGGGAAAGAGAGAGAGAGAAGGGAGCTCAAAAGAAAGCTTCTGGTCTGCCGCCCGGCTGCACCGATTCGAAACTCTCCCAGCTGTATGAACCTGTCCCCGAACCTGTTCGAAGCTGACAATGCCATCTTTACAAGAAACGGCGGACTCGGGATTGAGTGACTACAGGTATCATCTGAACAAATTGGTTCCATGGTCTTCCCGTTCAGAAACTTCTCAGCACAAGCCGAGGAACGTCACTCCTGACGCTGGCCCCGCTCGCAAGCTCCATGCATTCCAATGACCGTGTGGCACGTTATGCACGGAGCCATCATGCCTGGGCAGCTTTCAGGTACACTGCAGTGCGTGCGCTATGGAGAACGTAATACGACGGCTCTTGGTCTTGCTTGGGGTTTGCGGCTCCATCATCAGGGCATGGGGGCCTCTACCGTTAGTCTGAAAGCACAAACAGGGATCAAGAGAGAGCCCGGATGCCCCCTGAAGACCTGAGCTGTGATCCCGGAAATGTGAGTGATGCTCATGTGGTCGTGGTCCATAGCTGCGATGCGGAAGTTGCCGATCTGGATGAAGCTTGGCCCGAAGGTGATGCCGTGCGGAAACCTTCTTCCCCACTGCGCAAGGGAATTATTAGACCTCCTAGGACATATACAGCACAACCAGAAGGAAGCAGAAAGCTTTAAAGTTCAGCAAGGAGCCCAATAGGTCTGTGCCAGGCGCTGAAGTCGTTGCGGGGACCGGGAAAGAGATGGCCATCGTTACGATAGATTTGGGCCGTCTTCCCATCCATGTGAGAGATGCTGAAGTGATTGTCGTCGATGGCTGCTAGGCGCCACTTCGCGAGCTGAATGAAGCGATCGCCCCAATGTCCGAACTCTGGGTTGCATTCTCCATGGGCCTTCTCGGCGAAATCGGGGCAGGTCCAGTGAGCGGGCGATCTGCGGACCACCATCTCATTGTGAATATTCCAGTGGTGGTTGTTGCCTGCGTGCCGAGACCCGTCGTGGCCTCGGAAAATCTCCAAACTCTTGGCAGTGGGGGTGAAGTAGAAATTGAAGTGGTTGTCGTCAGCTGCGCCAAATCGCATTTTGCCCACCTGTATGAACCTATCTCCGAAGGTGACGCCTGTCTGAAACCCTTCACCACGGTCGTAGAGGTTCCACCCGGTTGAGTGGTGCACTGAGAGGTCGTGGCCCCGCCAAGTCTGGGCGCATTTGTGGCTGCTGGAAACCACGCTGAAGTGATCATCATCATTGGCACCAATACGGAAGTTGCCGATCTGGACGAACTGGAAGCCGAACCTGACTTGTCAAAACATCGCTTTCAAGCCTTTGCGTAGGTGTCTGAACCCCACCCTGGGCCTTGGCGTCGCACCCTCGCCTGCCGATACCGTGAACCCCTAACGTGAACCCTAAACTAACACCCAAACACCAGTCGAAGGGGCGAGATCCCTTTGGACGGCCCGGGCGCCCTGTCCCATGCCACACGATTCTGGTTACGATGCCAGGGACGCCAGTAGGTTTTCCCATCGTTCCGCCACACAATCGGAACCTCGCCTTTTTGGAGGGTTTGGGGTTTAGGCAACATCACCTCAAGGAAGGGCCCCTGTAATAGGTGAGGCCTTCATGCTGTTGAGAATTTTATAGGGAGCCCCCAGCCCAGAGACTGCGGGGTCCGAAGAAGGATGTTAAGATCTCATCCAAGGCACCGTTACTGTGCTGCAGAACGAAGTGGCGGCCATCAATGTCGGCCAATCGCCATGTGTTCCCCAGTTGAATGAATCGATCTCCCATTACGAGTGCCGGGCACGTGGTGCTCCCAGAGGCCCTCAGAACCAGAGACTGCAGAGACAGAACCACTGGAGAGCGAAGAGGTGATCCCTTAAGGGCGTGACAGGCAAAAAAAACTTCATAAAACCGCTCCGAGAGTCCTCGTGTCCTGATTTCTCACTTGTTCGGGTGGCGGGAGCTCTTCCCCAGGTGGAGGCCCTCGGCCCGCATGCTTGCACCCAAGCTCTGCTGCGCAGGGGGCAGAGTCGAAGCCGGGAGTCGTGTAGACCTCCTTGCAGAAGAGCTTCTGGGGGGAGAGCAGCTGAATCGATGGTAGGCCCAAGTCAAGGTTAAGGTTCGGGATGAGTCCTGTGATTTGGGATGCTGCCTCTCGAGCCGCCTCCATGATGAAATTTGTAGCTGTGCTGGCACCTGGAATGCACGAAAGAGGCCCCGTTATGGTTCTGACGAAGGCTGCAGCACTGGTCATGACGGCTGCTGTGAGCTCATCAATGAGGAAGCGGCTGTTGAAGCGAGCTTTGAAAATAGCTGGCAGGGCGAAGCCCGTGATGTCGACGTCGGCATAGATGTTGAGGGCGGCTGCTCCGCACATCTGCAGGTTACTCGTTGTCATGTTCAAACTCGAGTTAGACCCGGCTGCAGCAGAAACATGGTGAGACTCCTCAATGAAGAGCAGCCCATGGCCCGACTCGTAACTCCTCGGACATGCGCTGACGCGTCTCGGAACCGAAAAACAAAACATCTCGCCCAAACTTCAAAAAAATAAACAAGTCGCTGACGCTAGCTTAAAACGAACTTTACAGGTGTCATAGCCAAAATCAACGGAAACTCTTCTGGGACAAGCTCTGGCTTCAGCGTGCCTTGGGCCTTGGCCTCAGCATGCACCATAGGCCTGAATGTCTTGTCTTGGGCTGTTCTTAATAACTGCAGGACCTTACAGTGTTAGCTAGGTCTAGTTGTGTGGGCGCGGCATGTAGGCAGATGTAGACGAGCCTGAAAGTGATAGGAATACCCGGCACTGGCCATATCGTGAGGACCGGTCCCACACTCCTTACTTGATGCTGAGGCATCTAAATTTCGAAGCAAGAGACTACTAACAACCGTAAACTGCTAAAGGAGCTGATTCCAGGAAAGATCGGCATGCTCAGATGCTCAGACTCAACCCTCAGCCTTTGCCTCGATGATTCCAAGGCTCACCCTAGCGGATGCTGTAGCACTGGCTCCGATCGCAAAGCCTTGCTTGTGCGTGATCTCTGGGCTGTTCATATCCACGTCTGCATGACCGTTCCTGAGAATGCTTCAGGATTAGATTGAGGCTTCCGTGTACATCCCTCGGTTTCATGTCGAGTCCAAAGCTCCCGGTGACACGCACTGAGCCCGCGATTCGGAAGTCCGCTTCGGTGCTCACTTCGATTGTTCCCGTCAGTGTACCCTCCAAGTTCAGCTCTGCAACCATCTGAAGCATGATTACGATGCAGAACTTACCACCACAAATGATCTTCTTCTTGGGGGGATCCGGAAATCCTCTCATGGCCTGGGCATCAGGATTCACATGTGCGACTGCGCTGGCGCTCAGATGATATTTGACGTCGTACAAGACCACCACCGCCACCACCCCAACCAGAAACTGGCAGCCGCACATGCATCAGCCAGACCAGCAGCAGCAGCAGAAACAGAGGCAGCAACAGCATCAGCAGCAGAAACAGAAACAGAGGCGAAACAGATGCAGCGACAGCGTCAGCAGCAGGAGCAGCGGCAGTAGCAGCACCACCACCAGCAAAATCAATGTCACAGTCAGCAACGGAACAGCAGTTTGCCTCTTCCCTTTCCGGCCTTGTACGAGCAGCTGCCTTGCGCCTCGACCAGAGCTTGAACGGACGCGCGCACCATGCCACTGATCTGGAACTCGGTCGTTCCTGAGCTGACGTGATAGTGTTGCTTCTCAAAACAAAGTGGCGCCAGCACTTTAAACCACAGGCAGCAAGTCTCTTTCAAAAAACGCACGTAGGCTCTGCCCAGTCTCCGCTGTCATAAACAGTGAAGGTCACATCTGGTACAAACTGGACAACGCCATCGATGGCAACCTCGGATAGGACATGGCAGCCTGTGTCTGCTGATGGCCGCAGCACTCCAACAATGAAGCAATCATGAAACATGAAAGTCATGCAATAATAGCTCCTCTTCTTGCAATCGGAGGCACATCCAAAGACGTCTCACACGAGCCTTGCTTGGTCGTGAAATCTAGGAGCATAGTACAGGAACTCTGAATTCGAGCCCAAGTGAGGCAAGGCACTCGAGGTTCCTGACGTCTTCTTGTCCTTCAGTGCATCCTGGCTCTTCAACACCGTGCCTGCGTCCCTGGCAGTTTTCGGATTCAATGTATGGGCGGGGAATGAGGCCTAGGGGGGCTGTGGTTTGCTTGGGGTTGAGGGCTTCGGGTCAAGAAGTTCCTTTGCACGACATTTCAGAAGATCTCCCGAAGAGCGACGACATGGAAAAATTCGGCTTGCGCCTTGAACCCTAAACTCAGAACCTGAGCCCTTCACTAATACAAAAGAAACAGGGTGCCATTACGATTGCCGAAGCTCTTGAAAGCTTGCACAAACGGCGCTCCAGGCAATAGGTTCATACCTCAGCTGTTCCCGCAAATCCCGCCAAGAATAAAGTTCTTGAGTTTAACACTTTAACGCAGCTAGCATTACAAAAACTCCAATAGGGGTCAAGCCACCCTCCAGCTTCGTGCCGTCCAGCTTGCTCTGTTGAACTGCTGCTAGCCCGAAGCCTTGGGAAAACTCGGCGGATGCCTTAAAGACACACCGCACCGAGAAGCGGTCCGTCCCGATCGTGACGTCGCTGCCAGCGTTGCAGTCGCACTGGTTGCCGATCAAGATTGAACACAAAGAGAACATCTCTTTCATACAATCGATTATCTTCTTGATCTCGTTCCAGGCTGCAACGGCCAACCCGGCAGCCAACCTTCCCACTTCCGCGAGGGATTGTTGGGCATGGGCTAGCGCCGTTCCCGCAAGATCAACGGTTGTATCTACCACCATCTCTCCTACACTCACCATTGTGTTGACGGCACCTACCGCCACTTGCCCGATGGTGCTTGCGACACCCTGGATCTCCGGAGGCAAGCTCTGCAAGGTGGCCTCTGCTGCTGTTACGACAGTGTTCCCGACAACCACGGCCGCATTGCCAATCGCACTGCCAACAGCTTCAAACCCATCAGCAATGGTTCCGAAGAACTTCGCTGACACCACGGCATCAAGCTCCTCGTCAACACTTGAAAAGTTGGTCTTCTCACCAACCAACATCTTCGAGCGAGAGGACCGGGCCACAAGAGCATTCTGCACAGCCATCTCAGACCCCTTGAGATCGCTCTCGGAGCGCGAAAAGTGCACAGAATGCTCAGCGATCGCGGCTTGCGACGAGTTGGTGATCAACTCCTGCATAACTTTCATGGATGAAGCCACGGAGAACGTGGCCCACATCATGACCAAGTACGATGGCCATTGCCAAAGGAATTGCTTCATTGTACACGAACAAACAAAGTTAAGGAAAGAGAGCCCCAGCTATGTTGCCGTCGCTGGAGCCAGGAAAAGGCTTTGAGGCATTATCGGTTTCTCTCAGACTTCGTTCATGCAAGCTCAAGCCAGGTTCAATTCTCCAAATGTGATGTTTGCAAAGCACGCATAATTAGGGTTTTGCAAAACTGCGAAGAATTCGGCTTGGTTTGGCCTCAGTGACAGCACGGCAGTACTTGGTGGGAAAAGTTCACAAGCAAATGCAGCAAATGCACGGGTTTTCATGCAAGAGCTAAAGTGCGGTCGATCGGGCGTCTGTGCAACAGCGATGAATTGAATAGATCCACGATTAGTTTGATAAGGAACGCACAGCAGACGGCCACACCGCGGGATGCCAGCCCACAATCCTGCTCATGACCTGGATCAGCATCTAACCGAATCCCTGCAAGAAAACACCGTGCCGGAGGTCGAAGCCTCACCTTCAGCACTTAAGCAAGTCTCAAACCTGAAGACCACTGCGGCGTCCAACAGCGAACTGTTTCCGTGGACCTTGCATGTTCTCAATTAGCTTCAAAGGGTTTTGGCCCAGCTGTGCAAAGGCTCATGCAGCGCATGAGACGATGGACAGCCCAGAGAAGGCTGTCCAAGGTGGTTTGAGCTGACCTTCTTTAAGCTGGCCATGCACAGAAGCCAAACAATCCACGGTTGAATGCGTCGCCCCATCAGCTTACTGCGAAGTTGTGTTCCAGTCATGACCACAGATCAAGGGATGTAAAATGCTTTTAAAGGTCTTGGCATCGGCATGTCCTGGCACCTGTTGGGTTTCCTGTCTAAGATCTCCGAACCCGCAAGTCCAAGCTTAACTGCTTAGAAAGCAACCCAATCTTAAAGAGGAACTTGAAGGGAGCTTGAAGGGGGGCTGGCAAATAGGTGCCAAGCCTCTCAATGCCGACAGAGGCCTTCTCCTGGGATAGTGTCAGAATTCCATACTTTGGAAGTGTCGATTGCTTTTGCGCCTGCAGACCGCAAAACAAAATTGAAGACTCCGAAAAGCCGCAATTCTGATCTGTTTTTGCATGCCACCGATGCACTGTTTTTTTGGGGCGCAGCGACACAGCAGCACACAGCAGAAACAACACAGCAACGAAATCGCACGAGAACTGCAGCCAGCGAAATTGCAGTGGCGAAGCGAAGCAAAGCAGCAACGAATCGGAGCGCAAGGAAAAGCAGCAAACTGCGTGAAGCAAAAAGAACTGTCTTGTGTTGGAAATGAAACCTTGTGTTTTGTGTCAACCACAAAAAAGCAAAAAGAAAACGTTTGTGTTTAGTTTCTTTGATTTTGTTTTGCTGCGCTTTCTTGCATTTTGACCTTGCTAAGAAAGTCCGACCCAATAGCGGAATGTTCCGTGAACTACGCCCAAGTTCAAAAGAAAAACACAGCAGATTAATTAGATGAACGGCTGTAAGTTTCAAGCATGTTCTTAACTTGCAAAAAAGACCTTTGCTGCAACTTGTTCAATGTCCAGCTTCTTCCGAACACTCGTCACATCACTGCCGCGCACACTCCGCGCACACTCCCCGCACACCTGCTCCGGCTTCCGCACATATGTCCGCAAAACCTCCACAACCTGGGCAGCTGTCTGAAACCAGCATTAAAAACTAAAACGTAAATCCAAAGTTTCGCCAACCCTGCAGCAGCTGTTTTTTCAACGTCCTGCAAACATGCGTTTTCCAAAATGCAAGACACAAAAACCTCTCCATGCAATCGCGCTTCGCAACTGTTCGGTTAAGGCTTCCGTTTCCTACCGGGTTAAGTAAAACAGCAGAGGACCTAAACAGCAGCAGCAGTCACGCTTCCTCTTTTGTCCGTTGGCGAAAAACCGTCCAACGAGTCAGGTAGCCGGTCCGATGTTCGGACCGGAGGAAAACCGGCAGTTACAGACTGACCGGCTACCTGTGACCGGTCGGTAGAAGTTGGTGGACCGGAAATCCAAAACCATATCAAGCTGGCTTGACCGGACCACGGACGCACGCCCAACCCAACTCAGGCCAACGCAGATAAAAAGGCAGACAAGTCGTCAGACCCCGACGAGATACGGACCGGGGAAGAGGAGAGGAGGTCTTATAGATTTCAAGCCATAACGCTATTAAAACTTCATAGTAAAGTTGTGATCTTTATTGGACAAACTTGTTGTCCAATCTTCATAGAAAAATTCTTGAACTTCATAGAGAAATTCTTGAGG